AAGCAAGCAAGGAAGCAAGGAAGCAAGCAAGCAAGCAAGCAAGCAAGTCAAGGGAGCAAGGAAGCGAAGAAAAGAAGAAAAGAAGAAACGAGGAAGTTGAAGGAAGCATGCAAAGAAACACGGAGAGAAGCAAGGAACAGAGGAAGCTGAATGGAAGGGATGAAGGAAGCTCACCTTGTATGGTCTTTTCATGTTTTTCCTGCGAAATCGAAGCCACAGGATCCCAGCGAAGCACATAAGATAATAAAACCAGGCGAGAAAAGTGAAGTAGTTTAGAAGCAACTCAAACGTGGTTGAATCCGGGATTAGCACGATCAATGAAAGAATGCTCTAAAAAAAACAACAAGTTAACAAGATGTCAATAATACAGACTATGTTGCTTTTAAAGCAATCGTGGTGTTTTGGCTATTTTGCTTCTCGTGCGTTAATTTTCGTTTTAGCAGTGTGCTTCATTAGAATGGTTGGGAAACGCGTTAGTCAATATTGTGTGTTGTGGGGTGAGGAACTCTTATTCTTGGTGAGGTTTCCTTTTCTTTGTATAGGAAATCGCACGATCTCGAGTACAACATTACGAGTGTCTATTAATTCCGAATTGTACAAGAAGATCGTGCGATTTTTTGTTTATAGTTCACTCAACAAAATTTCAGTAAAAAATGCGAAGCGACGCCGTTCATCTTTGTCTATTTGGCAGCCGATTTTCAGTCCATCGCGCAACTGAAACGCATAAAAAAGATTAGTTCTTACGGCTTTAAATTTTTATTTATATGTTTTTTAAGTACAAAATGATAGAAAATAATTGTTTTGACATTGTTTTGGCTGTGTTGACATAGCGACTAAATTCGGTACTCCTACGGAGTACATTTAACGCTATAATTGTACTCCTCTCGACCAATCAGAGTCGAGTAATTTTGTTGAGTGTACTATAAGAGCAATAAATGGTTAAATGTCTCTAGAGCAAGCATTTTCTTTCTCCTATTTGTGCTCATATTGCTTAATACTAAACAGGTATATTTCTTTGAGCACTAAACTGGTTGATTCTCTCTAGAGAAGCATTCTCTTTCTCCTGTTTTTGATGATTACATATATTCTTCACAATAGTTACGAAACTACGCTTAAAAACACTCTACTGAAGAAAGCAACTGCTCTATCATCACACCGCCTCTACTAAGGAATTTAGGCACAGACCTGATATCCCGCAGCTCGTCGTTAACGTTGATAAAGTCAAATGATCTTATTGCCGTATTTCATTGGTTGTTTCACGATATAACGAATCACGAATATTATGGATAGCAAACTGAATAAAGTACCGTCGCAGCCTATCAAAAAGCAGATAAACCAGAGGATATGCAATGCTAACTACTATCCCACTCAAAACTGTATTATTGTAAATTTAGTACCTTCCTGGAATATTTCACGTAAACACATGCTCTTCTTGACATCAAACACCCCACTACACCTCCCCGTCCACTCATCCCTTTGGCCGGGCCGCTATTATTAAAGCAGGCTATATAATCGGCTCTTGTGCTACACATGAGCTGTTGTTACTGCTATACTTAAAAGCCTAAAGCAATAACATTGTAAAAATAACCTCTTCAGGATTACTCGCAACAACCTTAGAGATGGCAGAAATGTAGGCAATGCTGTGTTCTCTTCAGATATTAACATAACACTCAAATGCGAAATTAGGGAATTTTTAAGAGAGGTCAATTTTTGGCACTCAGTCTTACATTGAAGAGTAGTGCCGGCAGAGGGGTATGTCTCTTGGTGTGGACCATGGCAAGAAACTTGGGCAAATGACCCTCACGAGCTGCAGCGAAAACGAGACTAAACAATAAAAAATGAATCAATAAATCAAAATCATATAGAACATACAACTGGGTTTTTAAATATTATAATGTTATACTATGCCGTCCTCTTACCGTCCACCAGCAAAGGCGTTACCGTTAGCGGTACCAAATGTGGAACAGGCAACAAGTATAGGGATTACCCAGGCCATCACTCCGTATAACCGCTGCGCGAGGGTCTGGGAAGAAATTGACTCAAATTAATGATAATAATTACAGATTTATTTTGCGCCACTTATATACATTTATAATATTATTCTTGGTCAATTAGGACTCCTAGATATTTAGTTTAGGCTATCAACAGAAAGAGGAAGCTCTCCATCGAGAGCAACCAACTCTGCCTTGATCCTATGGTTATAAACTCTGACTTAGGGCTCAATGATAGATCTATGTATTGAAATTCTCTTCTCTATGACCAGTATATGATGGGTGGGTGGATGGATGGATGGATGGGTGGGTGGGTGGGTGGGTGGATGGATGGATGGATGGATGGATGGATGGATGGATGGATGGATGGATGATGGAAGAAAGTACATACTTACTACGGCAACAGCGTTTGACGTCATTAGTTCAGCTGGGCTTAGAACAGTTAAGTAGCCAATGTTGACAAGCACGTAGCAGATCGTTACCATGGGGATGCCAAGAGAGATGCAGACAGAGAGATTCCTGAATTGAAGTTAAACTGAAATCTATCAATTGACCTCATACTAAAACTAATCAAACTGTCGCATGGCAAACTCGTGGATACCCTCCTCTGAATCCTACCACAGGTAACCTAGGCTATCCACTCTTATAAGGAAAGGTATGTAGTAAATAGATTTTTTAAAATTTTGTAGGTTTCGTTAAGATTTTGGAAATAGAACTTCGACTATGTAAAAACCAGAAGCGTACTTACCGTTTGATATCAAAAGATTTCGATTTTATTATTTTTTATTTAAGTCAATATTTATAAAGGCACATCTAGTTTAGCAAGGCTAGTTTAAATAGATTTTAAGCGTTACGTTTTTTAGTGCTTTTAGGTTCCCCCTCCACTTCTCTTCTCTATATAATCTAAAGGCTGGAAACTTTGGTCGATTCCAAATACAAGTCGCTCTATTTCAGCTGATCTTTTCCACCAAAATCGCGGTCTCTCGACCATCTCAACTCCAAGTTACTTCCTTCTTTTGTCTGGTGAGTTCAAATCTGGGAGAGACCGCGTTTTTGGTGGAAAACATCAGCTGACGTAGAGTGACTTGGAGTTGGAATCGGCCGAAGTTTCCAACTTTTAGATTATATAGAGAAGAGAAGTGGAGGGGGTGTGTAATATAAAATCCTTGTACTATTGAGATATTGGGTTCCCTGTATTAAGTGGCATTTTACACGTCATCARTTTTAGCATAACGACGTATCGCGAAAGGTAAGACTAAAATATAGAATTAAAATTAGTGTTTTTTAGAAGCCCCCCAAAAAGTTTTGCATAACGTTTCCTTTGGCCAATCACATTCCTCAGAAACACTGCTTATCCATTTAGAATGCTGGGATACTAGCATCGGTGCTCTCACAGTCACAGCCATGTATGACACGGTTTGGCATGGCGTGGCATGCTAACCTCTACTAGTTAGATCAGGTTTAATGGAATTACTGGTAAAAAACGTACCACAGCGTGCCGTGTGCAAGCGCTTTCATTGGATAACCAGTGATATTGCGCAATGTGATTTGCCCAATAGGCGTTATAGAATCTGCTGCGTGCCTCAAATCAAAGCACATAGCTCGGTCACGGTACAGAAATTATGGCATTCGTTAAGCCAATCAAAGTGTAAACGTCTTTATCCAATCAGAAGACAGTTATAATTTACTTGTTAGGGTTCTTGATTTCCTCCACAATGTAGTTTAACTGACTCCTATGTTGCAAAATACAAAACATGTGTCAGTGGATAGTGATAGTATCAGTCTGTTTATCGTTAATTATTGTGTAGATAAGTATAGATAAAGTTAAAGTGGAATTATGTTCAACCTTCGTGGGCGTTCTCTTCTAGTGGTTAAGAGCGCACCCTCCATCAATGATTGCATAAAAGGGTATACCTTTTATAGAGTAACTAAGTAGACGATAAAAGTGTACAAGGTCATCATTGATAAATTTACAGACCTGTTTTGGGTTCCTCAGTTAATAGTGCACTTGCATAATCTTATTTAGTATCGCACCAATAAGGAATTAGTTGCTTTCATTAAAACATAAGGTTTTCAATGCACTGTACGGGATTTTTAAAATGCATGCGCCTGAATGATTATTGTGTTGTCTTTAGAAAGACTTACCAGCCGTCATACGCGAACAGACCGTTATAAAAGGCAAATCCCATCAAACCAAGACTTGATGTTGATCCTTCGAAAGCGTTATTAAAATGGGAGGTGTGGCCTGAACAAAATATTTTGAAGATAGATTAAGCCGACATGAGAGAAAAATCTCACACTCAAAGGCAGGGCAGGGCAGGGCAGGGCAGGGCAGGGCAGAGCAGGGCAGGGCACAATCCCGCCAGAACAACTGCTGGGATACAGTTAGAGCAGACCAAACCTAAAGATTATGCAGTAAGTAGAGGATGCAGGTACCTTGAGCAATTCTTACTATGCCAGTAATGATAAGTATCAGTATGGCAACCATCTTCGCTACAGTAAACACTACTTGCATTCTGCTTGCCAACTTGACGCTTGTGCAGTTCACCAAAGTGATAACACCTTTCATTTAAAAAAATAAAAAAGTCAAAGACTGCAGTGTGGCTGCTGTTGAACAAGTAGTTAGCAGGAACTAGATCAAAGCTGTTCATATTGTTTTGGACAAAGCAATGCAGCCTAAAAAGTATTTGTAAAAGCAGTATAGTTGGCATTATGACACTATTCTCTTGCATGCAGATTACTCTTGATATAATGATACAGTATTGAAGAACGCGCGCGCGTGCTGTGTGCAGTTATAAAGCACGCGGGGATTGGCAGAACACGAGAGAAGTGTTAGGAGAAGCACGACGCGTAGCGGGCGCGTGCGTGCTGTACGCGCTCCCAACCAATCAAAATGCGAGATTTATAAGAGTYATTTCATAATTGATGTTAGTATAAATACACGGGTGATCATTGAAAATCTCGCGCGCTGATTGGTCGAGAAACTCAGATTATCACTCGATAATCACCTCCAGCGATAATCCAAAATGGCGGCCAGCCGCTTTGTTGCTGTTCCTAATTTTAAATGTGTCTTTTGTCTTCTTTCCCCCCCCCCTTTTTTTTAAAAAGAATCACCTGTGTATTTATACTAAAACAATTATTCACCTCAGGCTCAGTGAATATCGGGAATAATAACGCCAACTTCGTTTCGATATTCACTTCGCCTTCGGCGAACAATTGTTAAATATCTGGCGAACTGTGTAGCTCGCGTACATGTATTTTTTTAAGGTTCAAACTCGTCGATTTCTCATGCCACATGGTATTAAAGCTTAGTTTCTTTTATTGCGGATATAAATGAACCCTATCTAAAGCCTTTACCTAAAGCTGCAGCAGCTAATATCTTGACCAACTGGTTGTGATCCTTGCTGCAACCAGGGAAAAACGCTTCAACCACGTACGAACCAAACACCAGCAAAATCATTACAGACGATGGCTTGATAAATATCACGAATATCCAAGAAAGCAAAAATGCAGAAAAGGGCCCATAGATTTCTAGTAAGTACGCGTACTCTCCACCAAACTTTGGAATCGATGTGCCTAGTTCAACATAGCAAAGCCCGCCAAAAAGAGCGATCACTCCACAAAGCGACCACACAACTATATTGAGGCCTACGGATCCCGTATACATCATGACCCATCGTGGAGTTGCAAAGATTCCTGAGCCGATTATTGTTCCTACAAGAAATGCAATTCCTCCAGGGATTCCAAGGGTTCTCCTGAGCCCGACGCGGCTGTTTTGATCTTCAACTATCACGCTATTGGGATCTTCCTCAGACATGATATCTAGATGGTTTGACTTGCAGATATGATGCTATTCAGGTGATCTGATTTACACCACTTTGGAGCTCTTGTCGTTAGATTCTGAGGAATTTAAGCAGTCTCTCAGTTCCCCTTGTTTTGTCTCTGGAAGATGTAGTCGTAGTATTCAATTCCAAACAGGTCAAGTGCATCGCTTAACGTCACTTGCATTTAGGAGGCAGTCTCTTAAAAGCGGCCCACTGCATTTCGGGTCAGAAAATAGTTTTCCCTCAAACTTTTACCATATATAGAACGTTAATTACTAGAAAGTAATGATAATGACTTTATTTTCTCGAAATTCATCAAAATGATTTTTTTACAGCGCATAAATCCTGGACCTCCATTATCGATAAATTTGCATTTTTATGTATTTTGCTCGCAAAATATAAAACGCTGGAACAAACTATTATGTCAGTCCTGACTTTTACACTCATTCTAGTGTTAAAAATAAGCCAAATTTTGAATGTTAAGCAAATAGGCATTTTTGTTACAGACTGCCTCTTTAGTATTCAACATAAACAAGAATTTCAATTATCTAGGATTATTGAGTTCGGTTTTCGCTTGTATCAGAAATTATCAAGACAAAGGCCCAGCTATCCGTCTTGTACACTGATGTCCGATATAAAACAGCCGAGGTCTTGATCATTTACAATATTAGTGCTAAAACTGAATCCAGCAATTGTTTTATCGTATATTTTGCAAACTAAACAATGATCAATATTTAATCAGTCTGTACTTACGTAAAAAGCCTACCTCCAGAACAGTTTCCTGCCTAGAACGATCAGGCAATGGATCACTCCGTAAGGCGTAGTCGTATGTAGGTAAATGTTAAATGTATTCTAATTATATTTTCTATGTCTGCATGAAAAAAATCTGTAAGATTTGCTAGTTATGGTTTTTGTTTGTGTAATGCATATTTCAAGGTCAAGCGTTCAGTCGATTTAGATACCCTTCAATGTCCGTCACGGATAGCAGAAGAGTCACGCCAAGCCATCTGTGCTACCTTATTGTATAGCGGGCATCTCTATCAAACGAACACCCTTAGTTTAACGGGCACTATCTCGGATAATGACCTAATTTCTTTTCTCATGATTATCGTGGGGAAAACTCTGTGACAGCGGACATCTCTAATCAAACGAACAACAAAAACAGTCTTTTACGTTTCTTGTCAAGAGACTATCAAATTGGTATGTCTTGAAAGGTTTGAAAAGGAATTCACATGCGCTTGCAAACAATTTTTACGGAATAACAAGACAAAGTTAGAAATGCACATTCTTCATTTTGAAGAAATATTTTATTTAAAAAAACTCGAATCGTTTATAACATGCCTGAACAAAAATGAATTCTATTTCTTGGCTGAGTAAGACTTCGCAGCCCTTCTTGAAGAACTTCTCGTAGCCATCCTAACTGGAGTAGACTCTATCATGGACCTTCTCTTTGCCTTAACTGCAAAAGTTTTGCTTTCTTTGCTTTTCTTTTTTGATTCAATCTCGCTAGAGTTTTGTTCCTCCTCATCATGACATACTTCGGTTTCTCCTTCTTTATCAATAACCTCAGCCGCTCGTTTCCTCTTCAAAGGACTTGGCACAGAATTTAGAGCCCTTTGGTCTTTCGTAGACTCGGATTGGGTTGGGTCATTGTCGCCGTCCGCTTCTTTTAAATCGTTTTGGTTGGATTTTTCAGAGGGTATCTTGTCAATAACGAACAAGTCTTCGGTAATCTCTTCATCCTGTGAAATTTAGAATAAAGTCGATCGAATCTTTCCTTAACGAATGACAATAAAATTTGGCCAGAAGAATTGAATGTATTCATTCATTCAGTCAGTACTAAATGCATAGGGGGTTTGCTAAGAAAGATGATGCGTAGCAAAGGCAACGACCAAGGTTCGTGCTGAGGTAACCACTTAAAATTCAAGGACTATTCAAGGAGTACACAAGGACCCAAAAATGAATTTTCAAGGAGTATGTTCAGCTAAATATGCCAAAACGGTGGTTGCACATGGCCGACTTTCAGATTTTCCAATCTTTCTGACTAGATCTATTTCAGAACCATGCAAGTAATGATCAAAGCAAAAATTCAAGGAGTTTTAAAGAAGTTTCGCTAAAATCGTAAAATTCAAGAGCTTTTCAAGTGCCCTTGAAAACGTGAATTAAATTCAAGGAGTTTTCAAGGAGTTTAAGGAGAAGCACGAACCCTGAACACCATGGGTTACCATGACAATACATTGCCGAGAACACAAGTCAGCAACAACTCTATTATTGACCATCATGCCACACCATACAAATAACATAAGTGAAACACCACGGATTGTAACCTTACCTCCAAGTCAGATTGCTCTTCAAGTTGTCCTATGAGTGTTTTCAGTTGTCTGTGTAGTATGGCGTCTTCTACTTCATGCTCTTCGAACTCCACCCTCTATCAATCAAACAGACGTTTTTTCTCTTGGATTGTATTTGGTTAAAATTTGATTTAAAAAAGACACAAACAAACAAAAGCAAAACACAAATACAAAATTCCGAGAGCCCATACATATGTTTCAAAATCACCGAAGACTACTGTTTTTAGTCCTGTTGTAATTCTTAAAGAATATTTTAAATGAAAGTGCGAAATTTGGTTATTGAAAAATGAAAATTTCCACGCCATCTTTACTGCCTGTCTTCAGTTTGAAATAACACGGGACGAATCAACCTATCTTAGACAACAGAAACACATTGCACAAAACCGTTTTCTGGGTTACCTCTATCTCTTGTTCATCTTCTTTCCCACCAGCCGAGTCGAAAAAGAATAGTGGCTGATCTGTTGGATGGTTACCCTGTGCATCGTCTGTGGGCCCATGTTCCTCTGTGGGTTTTTGATCACTTTCTCCACCAGATTCAGAAGCCAACTAAAAAAGAAGTTAGACATTGTTTCACTTTCTTTTGGTGGTTTTCAATTATTCCCAAGAAGGAGAAACATCAAAAGATGATGCGGTCATGTTGGATCACATAACAATAGAGGCTAAAGACAAATCTTTTGTTCAATTCAACCAAAATGGCAGATATGAATTTGACCAATAACAATTTTTTGCAAATCACAATTTTACTTTTGAAGAGCTTCTGAGCTTTTGAGCTTCTTGCCAATCACGGTTTCTTTTAGGTAAATACGATTTAGCAACAATGTTCCCTTTCAAAGGCGCGCGCTTCTCGCTGTGACATGTATGTTGTATACGCTCATTACTTACGTCAAGAAGAGCTTCCATGTTTTCTTCTCGCTGTTCGCCAAGTAAATGAGAAGTCACTTGACTAGCAGTCATTTTCTTGGACAGTTTGAGTCTTTCTGCGAGTCTAGAGAAGCGAGCAAGATCATAAAATGAAAGGTGGGAGGGAATGGAATAATTAAAGTAGGTCACTAAAGTAGGTCACTAAACTACTACCTTCTGTCGTGTTTTGAAACCAAAGAAACAAAACTTGCTGGAGCGTCCTGTTTTTCTGCTACCTGAAATCACAAAAGCACAGCTCTGCAAAACTGCCAATGGGAACCAATGCTCAAACTGGAGAACCTCACCCCCCTAAATAATTACAGAAAGGAACTGTTTTGTGAGTGTCGAGTGTTTTCACCACTGCACGTACCCAGGAAATTGTAGTCCACATAGTTTGGCTATGCCTTTATTCCATACGTGATGAACATGAATGCATGAACAAATGAAAGAGGCGTGGATCAATCTCTCAATAAATACATTAATGCTATATATTCCTTTTTACCTTAAGAATAGAAATTTTAGTTTTGGTAGATGACGATGAAGACGCTAAGGAGCATAATTGAAGACCAATTCTTGCTAAGGAAATAAATCTGAAAACAATAATGGAATTTTAGAAATATTACCACATTGCTACGTGCTGATCGACACAAAAATGTGATACTTTTTTAAATTGGAAACTCCAATCGATGGACTAAATTATTGCCATGTTCCCTTCTGACGATTCCCATGTATATGTATATATTCTAACGACTGATGGTAGTCTATTGCCCATTAACCTGGCGAGAGAGTTTGCCTTGATCTGCACTCAGCAATGAAAATAGTAGTAAATAGTAAAACATAGAAGGAAAAGAACAAAAAAAGAACAGAACAGATATGACAATAAGGGCCAAGGCTTACTTGATGTACTGAGTGGTTTGGAGCATCCCTTGGTTTCTTTCCAGAATGCACCTGTGAAATTGAAATATAAACAGAGAAATTACATTATTAGAAGAAACAGTTGTACGCTGAGAAAGCACAGTTTTGAACCAATCTGAATGAACAATACAGAGAGTTACGAATTCATAGAAAAGGCATACAGTGAGACATACCTCAATAATGGTATTAACGCTGCACTACTGTTACAATCAAGCTGTGTCACTTGTAAAAACACATCCATGCAATGCTCTGGTGAATGACCTACATAGACATTGCATATCCAATACAGAAATTTAGAAGTCAACGTTTTTATTCCAAAAAGAGTAAATACTTCTTTAGTTTGGATCCTGCTATACATTTATGTCAAACCGTACAAAAAAACCTGCCTTACCAAGAACAGCAAAAATTAATGTTGCCAGGTTTTCTACACAGCTCTCTTCATTGATGCTGAAAAGAGTATAAAATTGAAAAAAAAAATAAACAATACAAAAAAAGAAAAAAAGAAAGAAAGAAGGAAAAGGTAAGAAGGAAAAAATAGATCAAAAGAAGGTAGAAAGAAAAAGGGCTGGCGAGGAAGAAATGAATAAAGGAAGGATAAAACGAAAGAAAACCAAAAAAATTGATTAAACACTATTAAAGTTATGCACAACCATATCCCATGAGATTTTCATAAGCAACCAAAAGCTATTATTTGCAGTCCTCTCATAGTCACCTTGATGAAACAAGCTGCATATCCGTATACAGAGACAACATGGCAGCCATCAGATCTTCATAAGAATCTTTTGGAGTGACATCATCTCCTTCTAAAATCTAAAAGACATAAAAAACTTTGAAGTAACATTTTGAAATAAGTTACTCTGGTAAGGGAAGGTACCACCACTGGTTAGCTCAGTTCATAAGAGCATCGATCTGTTGTGCAGGAGGTTGTGGCTCTAGCCTCGGCTTGGCCAACACTCAGGGTTAAAATAGCTGAGGAGAAAGGTGCTGCCTTTGTAATTAATATCATCTGCAAATGGTTAGGCCTTCAGGTCTTCTCTGATAAGGCCTAGGACTTTACACCATAGGCCTGCATTTACTAGGGGACATAAAAGAACCTGTTGAATTATTCCTGTAAGAGTAGGCCCTGATTGTCTCCTGGTTCAAGAGCCTATCGCAATTTGGAGGCATAACCTTAAAGTATTATTTATATGTCACTCATGATTGAAGCTGCACTGTTGCTAATAGCGCCTAAATATGCAGCCCATAAAATCCTCTGCTTATCACAGATGTAAAGCACATTTAGACCAAGTAAAAATGCACTATAATTATGAGAACCCCCCCATTAAGGAAAACTTGTTTAAACTGTAATTAATCATTGATTTGTTTGCTCCTTCATTGATTTGTTGCTCTTACGTCATCACTACTAGCCTTCCATCTGTTATTCATCAGCACAATATTCTGGTGTAAAGAATCTTGGAGTTCTTTTACCCTGGAAATCAAAAATACCGAATGAATATTTTTGACATCCTTGGAAACCAAGAGGTAAAATAAATTCTGTTGCTTAAACCAGAAACCAGCCACAGAATTTTACCCCTGGGTTACTGATGATGTGTTTTTGACCATTTCACTGTGTTTTAATCTTGCAGTGCTTCTCAATAACAAGGCTAGAATTGTACACTTTGTCATTGCCACAAAAGTTGGGTGAACGTAAATCAAAGTGTTTCCATGATGTTGTCAGAAAACACAACGTTTTTAAGGGCAAATGTCTATCAAATGTCATAAAACCACCTTGCTTGACGTCCAGCAAAACCTATTTCATCAATATGACAATTCCTTGCATACTATATTATATTGACAAGGATTGTAATTATGGTTGTATTACTAATGGAAAAACAATATTCAAACCTTTTTGTTTTGGCATCAGATTCAAGCTCATTGATACATGCATCACACTTTGAAGAAAACTCTCTGGAAAAGACGTTTCCCAAATTATCAACAGAATAGACCTATTTAGCTTGGGTGTAATGTTTTCCCATTTCAGACCATGTGTCATGTTACCTACACCATTATTTCTTTGTGTAATGGTTGCACAATTGAAAAGAAATATTATGATATACAATTTAAACAAAGAATTGCATTCACAAGAGAATAACATGTGATCTGAAATGGAAATATAACAAGATAAAAAGGTCTAGTAATCAATACTAACATATATCCACTAAACCTATTATTAAAATCAATTTCATGTACTGTAGTCAGAAGCTATACTTACTCCAAAACGGATGACAAACACTCCAAGATACTCTGTTGGAGAAAAACATATCATTGCTTACTATGTAGATGAAGTAGATTTCTGATCAGGACAAAATTGACAAACAGTTGAATTGAAGGCAATGCATGTCAGTTTTATTCTCCTTAGAGGCTATTTTATTTTTAGCCTTGAAACAGTCATTATGCATGCTCCATACATCTAAAGATAATGCAAAGAACTGCATGATCAAATGAAGTAGGTTTCTGGGAAGGACAAAATGGATAAACAGTTGAATCGAAGGCAATGTTGGCCATTTTTCCATTCAAATGCTATTTCAATTTGAGCCCTGATTTGTGACCTCAAAACAGCCAATGGAAGAGCAACACAATCAAAAGATGGCAAGTTCTTAACTGATTACATAAAGTAGTTTTCTGAATCGAAGGCAATGTTGGCCATGTTGTTACTCAGACACTTGTAAAGGATACTCACTTTCATAGTATGACAACCAATAGTCATTTCTATACATTTCTGAACTGATGACAGGTCATAACTTGTTTCCACCTGAGATAAATATCAAATTATTACAACTCTTATCATTGAACATTTTTGTTACTATATACACATTAAATCTCAAACATTTTGACATTTATTGGATATATATCCAATATGTTTCTGTGTTATTTTTGCTGAAGAAATAAACAATAAACAAGGAGCCAATTAACTTCAAACTTGCTAAAAAGCCACACAAGATATTCAAGAACGTTTTGGTGCACAAAATGTAATAAAATATGTTATCAAGTCATTGCCCTAGCTAAATATGTATTAATACTATATAAATATAATATTTCAAAGGGTCAAACTCTTGGAGAATTGGTGTATATAATAATGTATGATTTGTACTTACCTCTCTTACAGTAGCAAATATCTTTTTTGTATTGGTAAAATAAGGAAAACAAGCCTGGAAACTTTTATCTGTAAATAGTAATAATGACAATGAATATTCTGTTTTGAAGGGATCAGTGCATGGATGGGATGTTGAATTGATAGTTGTGTAGATAATAATGCCTTTAATATAACATTTTATTTTTTTACAAGGTTTCAAAAAAAAAAAAAAAGAAATTTATATATACATATAATTTAAGAACTTAAAAAAAGTTACGTTAAGTTTATTGAAACTATGTTCCCCAGTAGATGAAAGAATGGCTTGGACCAGTGGATGGACGAATGAAAGGACAAATGATTGGATATGTAAGTGATAAATGTCTGGTATACATGGATAAAATGGTTGTATTGATAAATCAAAAGTAAATAAACTCACATATTCTATCTTTTTCTTCATTTGATCTACATTCCCTTAATACTTCAAATGCTCTTTCTAGTCCATCTCTAGCATAAAGGTTTAATTTAAAAGTCTGAAAATAAAAAATAAAAAACAATTTAAAATATCAACAATTAATTCTTTTATTTCCTTAAAAAGTACTACTAATAATTAAGTTACATGTACCTTTTGAGATGCATCTTTATGCTGTTTTGGTATTTTTGGAACTACATTTAAAATACTAGAAAGAAAAAAAAAACACAAGTAAATTATTAAATCAATAATCAATTTTGGGAGAAGATTCAAGTTAAGTTATAAACTTGTGACATGTACAGAATACACAGGGGGCAGAGGGGGGCCACTTATCTTTCATTGTTTACGAAATTGTTTTGTTGCTCCGCCATCTTGTTTTAAATTATTTACCGCTGTACATAATATGAATAAACTTGAGCCCGTCAGATACCGTGCGCGCTAGCTGTGCTGTGCCTTAGCTTATTACAGTGGATGATTGCTTGAAAAAATTGATAGATTTACCCCACTGGATTTACCTAATCATCCACTGTAATAAGCCCCCTGTGAGAATAGTTGTCATGATGAAGTAGGTTTTGGTAAATACTAATCAAGGCATTTCTATTACATTCCATAGACATGTGTTCTCTGACAATGTTATTGAAACCCCTTGATTGCCATCTACCAAAAACCTATTTTTAACTAATGGCAAATTGAAAAATTCCTTGGGCTAGAGACCATTTTCTCAAGGTTGTGTACACATCCAAATTTAAGGAACTTGACGGGCCATTGATACCAGAACACAAGTATTATCATGCATTGTTATTAATTTTTTTTCGATAAGAATTCATGTCTTAATTTCTCTCATTAAATATTTTGTGAGCTTTTTAAAGATTACAAAACTGATGCTGAGCTGTATGTTGTAGAGTTGCTTTACTGTATGACGCTGCCACATGGGCCAGCTCTATGACAAAACTGAGTGTCTTCCATGAATATACATGAAATAAAAAAAGAGCAGCCAAAAATGTCTTTTGTTTGATGGGTTGCTAGGTTACTGGACGACATAATTTTATATGCGCCACAAAGAAAACTGTCTAGACCGGCTCTCTGCCAAGAATCGCCAACGAGGAAGACTAGCATGGAAATTTAGGATATTTTACTTAGTTAAAGCCAAATTTTATTGATGAACATTGATTCATCGATTAGAAAATATCCAATCAGTAATGTTAGTAAATAAAAAGATAAGAAGATCAGTGAGAAACCTCTGGGAAGAGCTGGGCAAGCTAATGATACTTATAACATTAATATTAATGCTGATAGGAATTACCTAGACAAGTGCTTAAAATGAACATTGAATTCCTTCTGTAAACAAGTCTTCACTTTACTCTTTGGTAAGTTAGACACGGCATCAGTAAAGTATGATCTCAGCTCTTCATTATCAATGCTCTGTTGATCTGTGTAAATGCATAAAAATATCAGATTGTTGAGAAAGAATCATACAATGAATGAAACTATATTCCAAGATATTTCAAAAATATCATATGCACAAGTGCTCCACGTGATGGTGAAACGCCACAAAAAAACGACTAAAAATCTCTTCTTATAAATATTTTCGGCCAAATAATTATCCCAATACAATTCATGGTAATAAAAATGATAAATTGACCTTTTTTTCATATACCTTCTTTAAAGCGAGAGGCCAAAAGAGAGACGAATTTTTTCGCGTTTATCGAAGAGATTTTGTCCGCCATCTTGAAGATAGAAGTTCCATTCTTCCGCGTGCTATTAGCACCACAGGAACTCCAACACAATACCTGCCACAACACCTATTGTAAAAAACTCCAGGAACCTACTTTAAAACGCTTTTACTCATGAGCTTTAGATAAAAGTAGAAAAGGGAGAAATCCACAACCAACCATTTGACTGTTACTTGCAAGTTGTTATATAAAGAATCTCAAATGTTTTTGTAAGTTTTGAAAAACCTCTATTAGGAAAAAGATAAGAGCATTTCAAAAGTTCAAGGATCTTTTTTTTTTTTGCCTAAACATTGACGTCAGCATACACTATCCATGATTTCTTTTTCATAGGTAATCAGCCAATCAGAGCGCAAATCTTAGCTTAAGGTTATATCAATGGAAAAGGGAGATCGATTTGACCATTTCTTAAAAACCAGGAGACGCTCTGAAAACAAACCATTTATTTGGCATATAAAGTATATACAATATTTTAGGATATCAAAGTTTTTTCAATGGATTTCACGTATATTATACTCTATATGTACACTTACGAGTTTAGTGCACAGTATCAATACAGAACCTATATAAGAGATACGTAATCCCAAACAGACTAATATAGATCATGTTCCAACGAGGCTAGCGGTATTTTATGGAAGCTCACAGACGGAAACCTTTTCAGAGAATGTTATTGCAGTCATTGCAAGATTTCTTAGAGGAAATTTTGTATGATTGAGAAAAACACACGTAACAAGAGTTATGCACCTTACGCCCTGGGATTGGTTCGATTAATAGACCTTTTTACCGATACGACGACCATCTGGAATTCCATTAAGACATTATGGGATGCCGAGGGGGCAAGTATTGGAAAATTTATAGACTGCACAGCTGTCTAGACGTCTTTTTATATAACTTTACGCTTTCCAATAAGAAAAACAACAACAAAAAAACAACAACAACAANAAAAAAAAAAACACGGAATGTGCTGGTAGTTGGAACAATATGTGAAACACCAAGACTTTAAATAATTTGAAAACGTAACCCCGCCACTCTATTTTTTATAAATTTTCGACATGTTTGCCCCTCGGCATCCCATAATAGAAGGTGGCCGCCGTATCAGTAAAAAGGTCTATTCCGTACCGCGTGTGGTTTCAGTTTTACACTCGTACAGAATACAATATATGTGAACTGCTGAGCTGGAATGTGTTGAATTATTAGTGAAAGATAAAGGAAAGAGAATCCCATTGAAGTTATGCAAAAGGAAGTTCTAAAATACTTCATTTTAATTTACCGCGACCAATGGCGCTGAAATGAGAGTTTTACCGCAGGAATGCTGTGAGTAAAACAGTAGACAATTCCTCGCCTGAAGAATGAAATCTCTTGTCAAGGAGAAACATTTCATTGCTCCTGCCCTACGACATAGCTGCCGTGAAAACCCTGTATACTCTAGTCCATCCTCTGGGTATCACATCTGCAATGACTAGAAGTACTGTATCTAAAATCGTTATTTAGACTCATAACATTTTTATACAAACAAATGTGTGCTCCCCAAAACGAAGCTGTAAATAAATATACTTGGAGTTCTGGATTAATTTAAAGTTCCTCTGCAGCCGGGAGAACCACATAAGCAAGGGATTTTTTCGTCTTCCAAAGGGAATTTGTAGTCGTATGTTATTTCTTCGTTGACTTTGATGTCTCGTTTGGAGTAGATCACGATTTTTTTCTCGTTTTCTAATGCAATTACCTTGGCGTAACAGTTTGGCTGTAGAAAAAATTCAAAAAGAAGTTCAGCTATTTCGAATAATGATAATGATGATAATAATAACTTAAGCGTTTTTGGTTTTAACCCTTCCAATTTTCAATGCTTCGTCATTCTTTCATATTCTCTATTAATATACCTACATTTCAATCGATCCTTTATTCACCCCTCTGTTCCTTTATGAACTTATCTATTCATTCCCTCATCATTTAATTACTTGAATCCAACAATGTAGTTTCGAAATACTCACATCGCAACAGTGGTTAATAAAACGTGCAAAATTTCCTTTAACAGTAGCGTCGATGATGGTGTCCTCATCCAGCCTGAACATATAACTGCTACCAATCCCTTTCCTTTCGTAGCTTCTCTCGCGATTATCGGCTATAACCTGTCTAATCATCTCTCCAAGGTACTCGATGACCATCTCATCTGCGGCGATCGGCTCTAGAGCAATCAGACCCCAGTCGTGAATTGGAGATTTTGCGAATTTCAGTTGCTTCTTACGCACCTGATAAAGAGAAAATGTACTGTGTAAATCGAACTATCACTTGGCTTTTTTATTGGCTAATTACCGTGGTAAATAAGAACTTAGACCATGGAAAACAATACAATACAATAAACAATAATTTTTACTTAAACTGGAATTCAAAGTTGAAATATAACATGCTAATATCTCCGAGACGTACATTTTGACACCGTATCAACAGCAGCAGCAACAACCGCAGAAACGACAGCGCCAAAAACAGCATCAGTAACGAAAATAACAGCAGTTGCAYTCACAGCAGTAGCAACAATGAACAGCGGCAACAACAACAAAGACGACGGCAGCAACAACAGCAGATCAGAAACAAAAATAGCAACAACAAAAGAAATACCAGCAGAACAGTAGCATCATCAACATTATCAGCGACAACAACAATAGCAAAAATAAAAAGTAACAACAGCAGTAGCAACAGCAATAGAAGCATAAGAGCAACAACAGCAACAACGACAACGGCAGATATTGAAAACAAAAAAAGAAACCACATACAATCCCTATAATTTGTCTAAAGATAGAAAATTCAAAGAAAGGGAAATCAAGTTCTCCATTCTTACCCGAAGTTTGTTGAACTTAAGGATGTCGCCGAAGTCTTCGTTGCAGACAGCCGACTGTAAACGTCTCTGCATCGCGCGGTTTTCGCGAGACAGCTGCTTTCCTTTGCTTGCGTCGAGTTTCTAAGAAAGAAAATATTATAGCAACGTTATTTACTGTTTTATTACACGTCAGAATACTTGCGCGCCAAGCTGGACACCCACCCCCTCCCCTGTGAGAGTTTCAATTGCCCTATTTCATAATGACGTCACATCAAAACAAAACATTGTTTTAACGCTAGGGAACATGGTCGCTGGAGGGGGATGGAATGACAACACATCTTAAATCACAATGAAATTTGGTTTATGAGCTGGTGAAGGCTAGAACAACTAAATATTACGCTAAATATCTCGAAAGAAGAGAATTAAGCTTAAATTAGCCTTAATTTCTATCATTTTAGCCGATGTAAGCTTGTAAACCGTGACGTCATTATGAAATAGGGCAATCGCCTGGTGCATGAATTACATTGCTGACTACTAGGCTGAATTTAATATACTCACTGGTTCTTCTATTGTGGCAATATTTTTCTCATGCTGCACGATCCCCTGCACACTCTCCGCATATTTTGCTTTTTCTTTGCTGTCTATCTTGTAGTACCCTTCAGATCGAGCACTTCCAGTAACGTGTAGACGTACACCCACTTCGGATTTCTGTCTTCGGCGTTTGAGTGTTGGAGTGCTGGTAGGCTGAGCAGTTAGTGGGCACAATTAAGGAAATATATTATATATTTTCTACTTCTGTTGATTGCAAGCTCACGCAAATTATGTAGATCAAATCCTGAACATCGCTGACAAATAACAGCATGGGCAAGTGATAACAGCATGGACATGTCATAACAGTATGGGCATGTCATAACAGTATGGGCATGTCATAACAGTATGGGCATGTCATAACAGTATGGGCAAGTGATAACAGCATGGACATGTCATAATAGTATGGGCATGTCATAATAGTATGGGCATGTCATAACAGTATGGGCATGTCATAACAGCATGGGCAAGTGATAACGGCATGGACATGTCATAACAGTATGGGCATGTCATAACAGTATGGGCATGTCATAACAGTATGGGCATGTCATAACAGTATGGGCATGTCATAACAGTATGGGNTGTCATAACAGTATGGGCATGTCATAACAGTATGGGCATGTCATAACAGTATGGGCATGTCATAACAGTATGGGCATGTCATAACAGTATGGGCAGGCCATAACAGCATGGGCATGTCATAGCAGTATGGGCATGTCATAACAGCATGGGCAGGTCATAACAGCAAATAAGAAAAAAAAAGAAGGAAAACGAGGAAGAAAGAAGGAAGGAAAAATGCAAAGAAACAAAGAGAGAAAAAGAACTAATACATGTACAAAGCAATAAATACATAATGCAAATTTATGGTTATTTGTTTGTAAAGGATATCAGGATGGAAACTCCATTTGGCTCCAACAACAGAATCCGAGCACACCTGGACCAGCTGATCAAACCCTACTTTCAAGAAGTGAGCATCTTCATAATCCAAACCACTTTTGAGGAACTCATAAACCAGTTCATCATCTTGCTCAAARCTTCGAACGGGAAAGACATGCTTAGGAAGCTTCTTCTCTGCTTTCACTTTTTTACCATCTTTTAAGTCTTCTAACTCTTCCTGGAATTCTTTCTCAATGACAGTGAATTTTGAATCAGGTGTTTCCTGGTCGACAGTGATGACATCAATAGGTGGGGTCTCCTCTCGGCACACCAAGCCATAGGAGTGATCCAGTTCAACAAGAGAAGCAATGGACTGAATATGCGGTGTTAATGAAGGCTTGTCTTCCGGTTTGTCTGTGATTTCTTCCACTTCTTTGTCAACTTTCTTTTCTTGTTCCTTCTCTTCTGCTGACACAGGAGTTGTTTTCTCCTCCTCTTTGTCTGTTTGTGGTCGAACTTCTTCTTCAGACACTATTGTTTCTGTATCTGTAGTCAAGTCTTTTTCAAAGAGTTCCATTTTGTCAATTCTAGGTTGTATTGCAAGCCCTGAAGTTGTGTCATAATTGGTTGTCTGTGATAGAGTAATGGTTTCAACTGTACTCTTAATGGCTGCTGTGTCAATGTCCTCCTTATCAAAATCAGAAATTTCACTTTCAGGCATTTGACTTTGGGATGTACCTGAGAAAGATCTATCTGTTTCTTCAGCATCATCTGAGAAGATAAAATTAAATAATTGTTTGATATTGGAGATGCTCTCTATTGCCTTCAAGCATCATTATTTCAAGTTGAAGTATTATCGTTTGCAATGATTGTTTGAAGGAAATAGCATAGAAGGTTGAATCAGTTAAATAATGTATGAAACTGGGGAAATGAATAAATAAATTTGAAAATTTAACTTAAAAAAAGGTGGAGGTAAAGTAAGATTACTAGAAGAAAAAAATGAAAAATAAGTGAAATAAAAATAGACTGAAATAAAGTGCATGACAATGCAGTAAAGACAAGAAAGAAAGGAAGGAGGCAAGGAAGAAAGAAAGACTAAACGAATAATAGAATGAATGAAAGAAAAGGAAAAGGAAAGCTGGAAAAGAAAGAAACTCTTTATATTTTAGAAGAAGTGTAACCAGGTGTTTTGCTACACTTTTACCTGATAGAATTGGTTTCTTAAATTCAACTTCCACTTTTTCATTATCCTTTTCTTCCTCTTCTTCTTCGCTTTCCTCTGAATCTTCTTCATCTGATTCCTCTCCACTTTCTTCTTCACTGGATTCAGTTTCACTTTCATATTCTTCCCTTTCTTCTTCACTTTCCGCCTGCTCATCTTCACTTTCTTCCTTTTCTTCTGTTTCTGCTTCACTCTCACTTTCATCTTCACTTTCACTGGAGTATATGGTCTTGTATAAAGATGAACCTGTACTGACTCGTCTGTCGGTAGCTACAATATTAATTAGAAATAATTTTACACCAAGTACAATATCTTTATTTAACCATTCATCACTAAACATGGTCAATACTTTATCACACAGCAGCCATGTTGGTTTGAATAACAGATTCCAACTTGTGACCCCCAAATTCAACTGCTCGAGAATAAACTTATTCCAGTGTAGCAAATATTTTTATTCTCATGAGAATAAACATGAACGCTGCGTGAAAAGGTTCATAGTGCAATTTGTGCGATTCTAGGTTAATAGTGCACAATGCACACCCTTGCACTCTATCAGCGATGCTCTGTTATACGTCATCACTCTCAACCCTTCCTAACCTACAGTAAAATGGGGGACATAAAAGAACCTGTTGAATTATCCGTATAAGAGTAGGGGATTGTTTCCCGGTTCAACAGCCTATCCCAATCTGGAGGCATTAATACTAATTTACTAACAAATCACTCATGATTGTAAGCTGCACGGCTGCTACTAGCGCCTAAATACGCAACCCGTAAAGTCCTCCACTGATCATGATTGTGAAGCGCATTGAGAACATGTAAAATGCGCTATACAAGAACCCCGTTATCCATGATCCTCTTGGCTTAAGATGCTTGGTGGAAACTCAATAAACTCTTCCCCTGCCACAACTTGGTAGTTATAAAGAATATAGCCAATTTATTCATATAGATAATATTTCCTCAGAAAAGACCAAATTGGAATTTAGAAGGTAGAAAAACCGGTCAACCCAAAGAAACACCCTTGAAGCACAGGAGAGAAACAGCAAACAACTTTGCTAACATACAACGCTAAGCCCAGCAGGAACATTAGCAGCACAAACCACCCATTTTTTCCCAAACGCAAGTAGGATTTTAGTGCTATATCTACACAAATCATTATTTTAAAGTATGTGTTTAAAAAAAAAACAATGTACCTTTAGAAATTCGAACATCCATTGCAGGAGGTGCTGCATCATCTAGATGTTGCCATGGTGACTGACTCCTCTCATCATCGCCATCATCAACTAAACTACTCACTGTTCTTGGTCTCTTATCTCCCTCACGGCTGGACAGTTCCACTTCTGTGTCATGTTCAGATTCTGAATCATATGCCCTTCTTCTTTTAAGAGATAATGAACTTTCAACAGTCTTGCCCAAGAGTGATTTGGCAAGTTCTTTTGTTTTCTTGGCATCTGGTTTTGGTTCTGGAGCACGACGTTTAAATGAGGGTAGCTTTGGAAGAGAGGCTCTGAGGCCCATAGCCATGCTGTGTGATAGATCAAAAGGACTTGGACCAAGTAGCGTTGAGGGAGTTGATGAACTTGGATGGGCAACTGTGGATGTTTGTTGTAGAGTACTGGGCACAGAAGGGGTAATCTGATGTACATAAAAAAATTCAAGAAATTAAGAAACCAATATGAAATAATGTCCTCCACTCATCTTTACTGATATCTAAAGCTAAAGTAATATGGATTCAAGAAACAAAAACCCTACAATACAAATAATGTCTATTTATATAGCTCAACCTACTGTATTGAAATCCTGACTGTCTAATGCTTCACAGATTTGTTTACCAAGACAAATAATAAAGTCCTCATACTTGTTTGTATATATGTTAGTATAAACACACTAGTCAGCAATTACAAATAATTATCCAGGACCATTTGGATATTATCCAGGACAATCTGACTGTAAACTTGGCCTTTTTTCAGGTAGAGACAATTGAAAACATAAATAAATTACCTTTGGTTTGCATTGGTTCTCCCACCAAGCCTCCAGAGATTTAAAAGCCGATGCTTCCACAAGCTTTCGAAAGACATCTCGGGAAAGGACTGCATCAAGTTCATTGCGAACCACACCTGATACTACATCAATAATCTGTCTCTTCCAGTTCCACAGTTTCTCTTGCTTAGTTGGTCTATACTCAAATCCCTGGCCATAACCACAAGACAATCTTGGGTGCAGAGGATAGGTGCTTGGATAGGGTACCGAGGCAGGCTGTACTGAAGGAAGCACTGAGGGAGGTGGGATAATATGTGGAAGAGTTGGGGGAGGGATAGGGGGTGGCATTCCTGGTATAGGTGGAAGAGGGGGTGGTGGAAATGGCATACCAGGGGGAGGGACAAGAGGGTTATACATAACAGGAGGAGGGATAATTGCTGGTGGATATTGGAAGATATTTGGGGGTGGAAGGCTGACAGGTTGGTTTTTAGGGGATATCTTTTTTGAAGGTTCGTTAAGCTCAAAGGTATCCTCATTTGAACTGATAGATGAGAGTGACATATCATCATCATCATCATTCTGTCCATCATTTTTGATCTCTGTTTCAGTATCTTCATTCGCTTCGATATCAGAGTAAAGATTATTAGAGTCTGATAACTTCACAACTGTATTACCAGTGACGACGGTCACTCCCAAAGGTGACTGGCATGGTGATATATCTTCAACTTGAAGCATATCAGCATGTGTTGTATCATCTGTGCCATTAAGTTCTGTATCTATAACACCTCCTTTCTTATCTCTAGTCTCTGAGGCTTGCTGGCTACCTCTGAAGTCTCCAAGACTTACCAAGTCAGTTGTGTTTGTCTCACTCTCTGATTCACTAAAAGGAGTACCTCTTTTATCAATATTTAGTCTTTTAGAACTAGAATTATCATCTTCGGCATCATGAGATAATTTTCGTTTTCTAATGGGTTCTTGCATATTAGGTAGTTTCATTAATCTTGATATTTCCAAATCTTGCTCATGGAAAAATGACTTTTCTTCTCCAGGTGGGAATGGCTCTTCATTAGATCCCTCTACAGAAACAACTCCATAAGCATTAGTCTCATAATTATCTAAACTATGACTCTTGCCTGAAGAATATCCAAGTAATGGAGGATCTGGCTGCAATTCTTTTGGGCTCCCCAAAGATGATGCAACAGGAGACTTGCCTATTTTTTGAGGTGAGAGGCTCCTTTCAGTTCTAAAAACACTTCTCCTTTCTTCTCGACTTGACACACAAGTATCTGCATTTTTGTTTTCAGTATAGTCATTTGGTGACTTCCTGGAATGCCATTCTCGAGTTCTCAAATCTTCCTTTCCATGCGTTTCATTTGAATCAGATTTCCTTTTTTCTTCCCCATGACGAGGACTTCCAGAATACCTATCCCTGTCCTCTGGTCTTCTTGGACTTGTAGTGTATCTGTCACTCTTCTTATACTTTGAGTTGTCTTTTTGTCTATCACCATGTTTTCTATCATTATAATCATCCCGATAACTACTCCTACTATAATCACTTTTGCGTGACTTGTAATCATTGTGAGAATCCTTCCATGTCTCATGGTGTTTATAACTTGAGCTGCGACCAGAATATCTACTACCGTCAGATCTTTTATTATCTCTTCGTGAGCTGTAGTCTTTATCGTCCCGATAATCCCGGTGGTAATCGCCATAGCGATCCCGATGTCTATCTCCCTTATCATCGTAATCATTATAATGTCTGGAATCATGACTTCTGTATTCCCGACTGCTATACTTGTCACTCTTGGGTGATCTACTGTGATCCCTAGAGGGGCTGCACCATGCTGAATCTTTCCTCAAATTTTCAATCATTTTGCCAATTTTCGATTCATCACAAGTTGATCTTCCTGATGTCTTGCTTGTTGTTGTTTTCGGGGCTTCCTGTGTGCTGGACACTTTTTTGGCTTTGTCTTCAGGGGAATATGTTTGTTCAGGTGATATGTCTTCATAGTTAAGAAACGATGAAGTCTGTTCAACTGGTGGAGGTAGTGGTGGTGCACCTTCAATGGGTGTGTCTTCAATTGGGCGGGGTACAATATTTTTTGGCAAAGGTGGCGGTGAAATAGGTTCAAAAGAACTTGATGAAGATAGTGATGTTGAAAATACCGACCCATGACCAGAAAGAGACAACTGTGAGCTCAAGCTTGATCGCTGCTGTAATTTTGAGCTGAGCATAGAAGAGTTCACGTCTAGAAGAGGTGGTGTTACTGGTGTTGGGGGATTTCTGATTCTTGGGTCTACAGGTCGAGAAACTTTGGGAGTACTTGAAGTAGACAAGCTACTCTCTAAGGACGGTGAATGAGAGTTGGTTGATGGTGGTGTTGGATAGTGAAGGGTTGGTTTGTTGGTGTTCAGGAATGGTGGTTTCTCTAGGCTCTTCTGTTGTTTCAGACGTGATGCTAATCCTGAAAATATAAAATATATATATGTTATTTACCGGCCAGGAGGTCCGGATAGGGAAAAACTGTGCCCGAGGTCTTGAATATACGGACCGAGGCCGTTAGGCCAAGGTCCGTGTTCAAGACCGAGGGCACAGTTTTTTCCTATCCGGACCGACTATAGGACGGTAAATAACTTATTTATTTTTTTCCCGTATTTTTTTTACTTGTTTTGGTAATCGTTTTGTGTTGTCGTTTAGCGGCAAAGGATACCGGACCGCGCGCGCGGGCAGATACTTACAAAATACCGCCCGCTCAAACAGCCAATCAGAATGCACGATTTTTTAGGATACCGGACCGGAAAAAAATAAATATATATTTATCATATAATTATCCATAAAATACCTATATTTCTCCTTTTTGAAAAACTGATATTTTCACATGTGAAAATAACACGTTATTTTCACATGTGAAAATATCGTTACCATGTGTAATAAGCCTTTTCATAGTTTAAGAACTGATTCCACTGCGCATGCGATTTTATCCCGAATTTCTCACCTTCTTTTGTTTAATTAAGAACAAAAGAAGCTTTAGACAAAAGAAGGTAGAAATTCGGGATAAAATCGCAAGCTCAGTGGAATCGATTCTTAAACTGTGAAAAGGCTTATTAAGTTATTAGTTTATGAATAAAAACTTTTTATAATGATAAAAAGCTTATTAAGTTGATTTTATGGATAAATATATAATAAACAGAATATTACATGGGCGCTTGGAGATACGAAATGCATCTTCTTGTGTTGAAAATCTCTCACGAGTGAGCACAGCGAACGACGTCTTTTCAACACTCGAAGATAAATTTCCGCGCGTATCTCCGCGCGCTCATGTAATATCCTCTTATATCAGTAGATGTCTAAATTTCCAAACTTATGATATGATTGTTACTAGGAAACCAATTCACATTACTGTACCTAAAATATAGCAAAATTTCTAGCCTTTAATTAGAGATAACTGGAATATTGCTACAGGTAGGAACTTCAATTGAATAAGTATCCTATACACATGATAGTAATCAATCCATTATTATGTTGGTACCATTAACATACCAACCAACCAAGTCTTTATTTTCAAGTAGTAATTCTACAACATTAAAATAATTTAGTTGTAAAAGTTTTTGATATATTTATATAACTTTGCCACTGATATTTTAAGAAGCCAAAAAAAAAAAACACCAGACAAATATATATTTTAGGTCTACCAACTGAAATAAGACTTGCTAATGTGCAATCTAGCAATCAGAAATGACAACTTTAAACACCATTCAAATGACATGCCAGTTAGTTTAGACTATGTCTACAATATGATTATTAACTGATACTAAAAATTAGGTCAAATAAATGTCAAATTTATTTTGGCCTTTGATATTGGAACTTCACTGGAATTTTTACATTTTAAGGTGTCAAACAGCTGTGTAAAAAATTTAATTGACTTATGTTTGATTTAAGACTTTGATTTTGTACATGAATCTATAAATAGCACCGGCAGTCACCAGACGCTTTTGTTTACATTCATATTGCGTGAATAACACGCCGATCAATATCTACAGTGATTGCTTGAACATAGCTTGCATAATCGCCAGATACCTTTTAAATTCGGTTCAAGCTGAGTTGAGATTATATTCCCCATGACAGAGCAGCCATCGAGCTTGGAACAGGCGAGTTTGGCTGATTTTGTTAAGTCGAAGGTCACTTTTGCTTTTCCGGTGTGCTTTTTTGTCAGAGGATCGTAGTAGATCTTGATGTTCTCGACTTTGCCGTACTTTAAGCACATCTCTTGGAGGAATTTTCGGTCGACATTGTCATTTAACCCTGTAAAGACTACTTCTCTTTGAGGTGGAGTGCCTACATAATACTTATCGACCTGAAAATACAAAAAAGTTGGTGTTTTTTCCCGTACAATTAGCCCTGTACCAATCAGACAGTGAATCGTTTTTATAACTAATCAATTATCAACTTTAATCAGGAAACAACGGATTCAGACGGAAAGAGAAACCTGAGAAAAGATCAAGGTCAATAAACACAAACCTTGAAATTTGGAACTGGTAAATCAGCTTTGTTTAACGTCCATATTCTGGTTCTTCTTGAACGAGGATCTCTTGGGATGATTGGACTTTGCTATGAACGGAATACAGTATAATCAACAAGTTTAGACTTAAAACAATTTTGATTTCATATTTTGAAGTTCGAAGGTTCAAGGAGAGGAATGCAGAAGTCTTACCCCATCAAATTCACCATCATATCTGAAGATTTTCTGTGATCCTTTCTTCAAAGCAGGATCTATAAGGAGCTTGTAGTTTCGCCTTTGTTTTACATCCTCTTGACGGCTTAGCGATCTCCCAGCTCCATTAGCAACTAAAAACACCAACCAAACTCAAACTATTATTACAAAACAACAGATAAAACTCCTATAAGATGTTAAAAACGCTGGATTTTTTGAATGTAAATACAAAATACATGCCTGGCTTCTCAGAGCTCAGAAATGTCGACCCAACTTTGCTGCTACTTTCGTACAGTTTTTCATGGCCGTAAACAGACTTTCTGCTGAACCCTGGCGGTTCATATGACATTGCCGTTCATCACATTAGTCCTTCAGGCCTGATTTACCACTGTTTGTTTCTGGAATGATGCGAAAAAAAGAGTTGTTTTAACAGGACTATTTCCACATTATTTTGCCTTCTTCATACACGCGCCACAGACGATGGCAGCCCACCAGCCATTGCACGCTTGGGGTGACCGACTATTACCCAACATGCATCACGCGCAATCATAACCAAAGGCAACCCACGAGTTTAATTGCCCTTAATCTCCCTTCTAATTTCAGCACCATCCGGCTTACTGCTCTAGGCAGATCTAGGTTTACGCAAACGGGGGCAGTAAGGGTGGTTAGACGCGATCTTCTCTATTCGTTTTTGCTTCAAACGTAACCTCCCCAAAATCATTCTCTGCTTCTGACGTTTTTTTGCGTCTTCCCGTCCTTCCTTTATTTTTTACTAACTTCTTCTCATCCCTTCTTTCCGACTTATTTCTTCCTCCTTTTTCTTCCCCTTTTTTCTGCTTACCTACGATATTTTCTTTTTCTTTTTCTTCTTTTTTTGCTTTTTTTTTCTATGCAGGCTCTTGGTTTCTTTCTTCCTTTCATTCGTTCCTTCGCGATCGCACGTTCTTTCTTTCTTTCTAAATATATCTTTTCTTTTTCGTTTTACATCTCTCTCTCTCTCTCTTGCTTCGTTCTTTCTTCCCTTTTCCTCTGGAAATATTTTTAATTTCATTTTCCAGTCCCCTAACAGGGCTCCCCTTCCCTGAGCCTTATTACGTGGCACCTCCCACCAAAATCCCTCCATGTTGTGACGTCAGAGTGTCGGCGGTCACTCAGCCAAGCCACACCGGGTCGTTCATGATCTTYGTACCAAGCACTGAAGGTACCCCATCTTCTTTGCTTTAAATTCTCCTGGATTCCTGACCACTAAAACGACCTTTGAATACACAAAACCATAGCCTAATCTCTACTCTATCAGCTGGGCACGATGGCGCAGATACTGCCTATTCGTTTCCAGGAACATCTTCAGGTAAGTTGTGTAAAACTAGTGATGTTAGCGAACGGGCATGTGTTCGCCAGAGTTCTTCCTCATGACTTACTTTATACCTGCAAATTCCAATATTACACCTTTAAAAATAGCACAAAACTAATTAAGTCCTACATTCGTTAGATGTTAAAGGTGTTGTAGGAATTCGTAGGTATTTTCTTCAAGCTTTTATAATGAGTAATTTTGACGGGCGTCTTGGAAGGGTTACAGATGAGCGTTCTTCAGTGATCTTGTGAGCTGTTAAAGCGGAAGAGGAGGACAAATTATTGTGGACTTCAAATCTAATTTTCCTTACTTATTTATCGAAATAAATCCGAAAATTTAACAGCATTTGTCTGCATTCAGGAACTAAAGATTCGAATCAAAAATTCGGCCTGGTTTATGCAATACCAATACATTTAAGCTCACATGTATTAAACTACATATTTTACAGTGTCTTTGAATAATAACCTTATGGCCGCTTCATTGAACTCTCAGCTTAAATTCCCTTATTCTGATCAAAAATCGACTGTAGTATATCATTTTAGCTGCCTTTTGAATGAATTGATAATCACTTTACCGCGATATCATTGCTCAACGAGGTTCAGACATTTTTRACGTTTCCAAGTTTTCGAGTAACACTATCAGTGCTTTCGTTATTTTTCCTCCTCCATTATCAGTACAACGGTGATTTTGTAGCCATTCAGATTTATGGTCGCATCGAATACCTTACCCTCTAATTTCTTTCACAGTAGTAGGCTAGATAAACTAATGGTATATAGTAGAGCTTCTTTACTTGCTTTGATGTGTTGAAAAAGCTGAACGCCTTCAGAACGCTGCCTAACAAAAATTGAATGAGCTATTTCTTGCATTTTCAAGTGTGTAATAAAATTGCAGTGTAAAATTACAGTCCTTTGATTTGATACCTTGTGAGCATAAAGCAATGGACTCAAATATTTCTATGATATTTTCTTTGCTTGCTACTTTGATTTTAATTCCAAATATGAGATTTATTTGCCGAAGAGTTCATCAGCAAGGGATTTACAGATTCCTAAAGATAACAGATTTATGTACATTGATAAACCTAAATGGTACTAATGTTTTCTAAGATATTCTATCTTTGGGAATACAAACTAAAGGAAAATTTAAATTCCTGTTCTAAAGCTCCAGCCTATTAAACATCAAAATTGTAATAGAGATTGTTACCTAAGTTTCATTCTCATTAACAACCTTTCTTCATTTTTTTTCAACCTAGCTAGGTTCTATTGCATTATGACTACATCTYATAAATCTTAAAGTACATCAACAAAAGCCTAATAAGCCTCATATACTTGGTATTTTCCATTTTTGCATTTTGAGATTGATATAAAAAATATGGGATATCATGGTTATGTCGTTTTATTTTGAGTGTTAAATTTTCATACACCTAATCAAATTAACTATTCTGGACTGACTAGCCTCCAATACATTTGAAAACGCTTTTATGTTTCAACATGAACACGAGACTAGTCAGTAGAGAGCAATGGCTATTCAAATTAGTCGCCACATTTCAATTAGTCATATATGCATGTATTGTAAACTCCAAAAGTAAAAAGCTAAAAAGAACATTTGAGAAACAGAACATGTTATTCAGATATTTGTATAATTTCTATCGTTAATTCAGAAGCTGGCATTTGCATTTTTTATTTTCTACTTTATATTTTGTGGAGACGATTGATCATAATTCAGTATTACAGTATGATTGGAATACCATTTTCCTGGAATTTTACATGCGATGCACAACAAAGGCCATATTTGTTACTGAGCTACTAACTATGGATAACATCTACAAAAACTACATCATTATATTAGTAAGATTGCTTAATAGAAAATATGGCAGACATGTTGCTCAGTCCATCAACCAGTGTGGCAGAATGTGGTATATTTTTGATTTTTTTGTTTATTTATGCTATTGTAGGTTTATGTTTTGTGTATTTATTGAAATTTGTTTATTATTTGAAATATTACCTTGTGCCAAGGCTACAAAGGTCGTCCATGAAGTAATAGTTGCATAGAACCTGGTAGCTAATATGAATATTTTATGTTATTGCACTGGATATGCTTTAAAACTTAACAAAATAACAAAGAACTAAACAAAGTTGGTATTGAAAGAAAAATATAAGGATGATTACTTATCTTAGCAGCTAAAATGAGCATTTGAAATATAAAATCAAGGGAATATACTTTGAATCCAGTCTTCTGAATGTCAACAAGCATAAGAAGTGCAATTAGTATCCATGAGTTTGCAAAGGACGGTTTGATTGATAATATCAGTATCTTAGATTGTAATATTGGACATCAGTTAGAAGTATATTCTACAAAAAGTTTATTTGACTAATAGATTATGAGTGTATCTGTGATCCAAAAGTCAAAAGTGCAGTGCCTGATTTGTCGGACAATGACCAGGATTTTCTCTCAAAGTTAATTTTATAAATTATCTAATAAGAATGTCAAAATATAAACTGCTCTACATAAGATATGATTTTACAAACAAGTTTTATTTCTTTTTTTGTCATTACAAGTAAATGCTCTTTTTTCAAATACCAAAAACTTGGAATTCAATATTGAATTACGGTGTTATACAAGAAAAATTTTTCCAATAGACCTTCTTTGCTTGGGCTTCTCATTTCCGAGTCTAGTAAATTGTGACAAAAGAGTTCCTTGAAGACAAAGAATTAATTCTCAAAGAATTGACATGTTTTCTAATTATTTTTTTTACAGCTTCAAAATGTTGGTATTAATGCTGCCAACATAGGGTTTTCAACCCTTACCATGGAGTCTGACAAGTTCATTTGTGTCAGAGAGAAGGTTGGCGAAGTAGCTCATGTTGTTATCATAGACTTGGCTGATGCTAATAATCCAACAAGAAGACCTATCTCTGCTGATTCTGCCATCATGAATCCCAAGTCTAGGGTCATTGCCTTGAAAGGTATGTGCTCTTTTAGTATCATTATTCATTACTTGGTCTTCCTTTGAAATGGCCAAGGTATGAAATGGAATTCACTAAGAGTATTTCAATAATTCATGAATCACTAATTAGTGTCTAGATGCATGCACTTTGCCTATGAGCCCAACATAATTGTGACTCATCACAAAAAACACCTCAGAGCCTAGAAACCAGCTTTTGGAAGCATAAGCACAGGTGCCGAGAGTATCTATTTCTTCTTAAAATTGCAATTAACATAGATGTTGTCTTCTGTTCTCAGCTGGAAGAACCCTGCAGATTTTTAACATTGAGATGAAAAGCAAGATGAAAGCCCACACTATGACAGAGGATGTAACCTTCTGGAAGTGGATCAGTGTTAACACTGTTGCCATGGTCACAGACACAGCTGTCTTTCACTGGACTATGGAAGGTGACTCCCAGCCAGTGAAGATGTTTGATCGTCATTCCAGCCTGGCTGGCTGTCAAATAATCAATTACAGAACAGACAAGAACCAAAATTGGCTTATCTTGATTGGAATCTCTGCACAAGTAAGTCCTTTAGCCATTAAGACATTTATTCCTTGTATTTAAAAGCTGCTCATATTGTATCTTTATTTATTTGAAGTTTATACACAAAGTATAAAAACAAGTTATTGTTAGGGGTCTGAATATGCAAATGTGTTAATCAGCAAAATAAATGATAAGCTATCCAAAGCCAACTATTACACCACTCTGAAGTTATGAAACACCAATTTATTACAGGGTTTGCTTCAAAACTCAAAATTTGTATTTTTTTTCCCCTGAACCCCCATGCCCCCTTACCCCTCTGAAATTCCAAATTTACTCTGTGGGGGTGGTATGGATAATTTCTGGAACTACACATTACCCATCTTACCAGTCATAATGAGCATTTAAATTACTATGATCTATGTTGTTACAAAAGTATTTCTGCAGCAAAATTTCAGAAAGGGAACAGTGTAGTATCCATGAGTTTGCAAAAGGCAGTTTAATCTAATACTTTTAGACAGCTTGTTTAAGAGATCAAATTACATTGGTATCTCTATTAACCAGACACCTTTCATTAAACAGACAGCTAGTTGAAGGGTCTCAACATTCTTACTATATTTACTTTATAACAAACCTCTATTCAGATTAAAACTTTTTCTTTTAAACCTGCACTGGGCGAGGACCCAATTACTGTAAAGTGTCCGTTAATAAGGTACCAATGTAAATGGGAAAGAAAGTAGGGGGTTCAAAGAAGACCGCTTAATACCTTTTTATCATTACTGTTTCACTAGAAACACCGACGCAGCTCACACTAGTTTTTAGCTAGTTATATCTTCTTAACCTGTACTATATTATGTGTGGCTTTCTCATTTCAGAGTTTTTCTTATTACTTGCTTACCTATATGACTAATTGCTTTATTTTTCTCAGCAAAATCGTGTAGTTGGTGCCATGCAGTTGTATTCTGTGGAGCGCAAAGTTAGTCAGCCCATTGAGGGACACACTGCTGCTTTCTGTCCATTCAAGGCTGAGGGTAATGCCCAAGAATCCAACCTGTTCTGCTTTGCTGTCCGAGGGGCTCAAGGAGGCAAGGTATTGATACAGATTATATTATAAATATTATTATTGATACAAATTCAAATGCCTATCACATTGATTTCTCAGTAGAAAAAGAACTTACTTGACATTGAAATACTTATATCTTAATTAAATATTTGGTTAATGTCTTGTTGTTGCAGCTCCATGTAATTGAAGTTGGAACCCCACCAACAGGGAACCAAGCATTCCCTAAGAAAGCTGTTGAAGTATTCTTTCCACCAGAAGCTCAGAATGACTTTCCAGTTGCCATGCAGGTTTGTATGATATTGATATTTGTTGCTTTGATATTGTTTAAATGCTTTGCAAAAATTCCCAAAATAGTTGATTTGGGAGGGGAAAAGAATTTAGATCTCCTGAGAGCAAATGTGAAGGTTTGGTGTTTTAATGGCAGTTCCATTGGTGAAATGCTGCAAGGGGTCTATTATGCTATAGATGACCATCCTAGCCATGATACATTATTTCTGTATTCATCTTTAGGTGAGTGAGAAGCATGGAATCATCTTCCTCATCACCAAGTATGGCTACGTTCATCTGTATGACATTGAGAGCTGTACATGCATCTACATGAACCGCATCAGTGGTGATACTATCTTTGTCACTGCTCCACATGATACAACTGGTGGAATCATTGGTGTTAATAGGAAAGGACAGGTATGGGTGAAATACCTTTGGTACATAAGGGCTTAAAATAATGGCCAGTCACTGTACAGTGTTTGGCAGAATTAGAACTTGTCTGGTCAAAATGTTTGCATACAGGCCCCCATCACTAGGACCTTGAAAGGGGAAGTTTGTTTTTCTACCAATCTTAGTTGATTGTACTTCTACAAAGGTGGAGAGGGGGGTGTTCATTTGAACCTTCAAACCACCCCTAGCAATGGGGTGCAATAGATTTTGACTAGTAAATTTCAACCTAGAAATGAAGTATGACCGAGCTAAAACTAATTTGGGTAGTGATCATGGGCTTCTGACAGAATGCAGAGAAAAAGTTCAAATTGTGCGGGATTTTTTTCGGGGTCATGCAGAAAGAATGGCAAATCATGCAGGGGAAACTCCATTTGTAAAACTTTTTCAGGCCCCATTCAGTTGCTCTCTTGGTATTTTTTCCTTGAGTGTTCGCCTCAATCTCGTGCTGGCATAAGTCTGAACTTCATTTCTAGCTCATTTCTAGCTCAAAATGCGGATAATTTTCCGTATTAGAATGGTATTTTGATGAAAAAAGGCTGCCTCAAATCTCTTCAAACTCAAAACAAAAACTGAGTCGTAATGTATTATAATAATTATTATTGTAGCACTCATAGCATTATGTTTGTCCACATGAGAATAAAATCCTTTGTTTAACCTTCCATAGCCATATCCTGAATGCAAGGCTACTCAGGGAAAATCTGTTGTTCTAGTCAACAATGACTACCATGTAAGATGGGTCCATTGGTAACCATATATTTTAATGTTCACTTTTAGGTGTTGTCAGTGAGTGTTGAGGAGGAGAACATCATTCCTTATATTACCAATGTCTTACAAAATCCAGACCTTGCTCTAAGACTGTCTGTCAGAAACAACCTAGCTGGAGCAGAGGAACTCTTTGTCAGGAAATTCAACAACTTGTTTAATGGCATGCAGTACTCTGAGGCAGCTAAGGTTGCTGCTAATGCACCTAAGGTAAGGAAAATGTAGTGTTCAGACATGTTGATAACGTTGATAATGATTGGTGTATCCTGTTGATAAGCCCTGTATAGCAGGTTTGCTCAAGACGTTCAGCCCATACTATAAACCTGATTTACCTGGAGTTTGTTGTGTGTGAACTTAAATGCACAATCACATGTAACCAAGCTTTATACTTTGCGTGCTGTTCTATTTTCAAGTAATTTAGATTGACTGTAGTTTTGCTTTAATCCATTTCCATAATTGGGATATGTTCTTACAGTGTTGATCAAAAGTTCAATGTAAACAGAGACTGAAATAGTGACTGTTCAAGTTAGGGTTACTATCAACCTTCATGGGGTACTCTCGGTCAAAAATCGTTTTGTGAGTCTCGTTACAGCAAAGGTTAACAAACAATCTATCATTTTAAAGCTTATAAATCAAATTTATATTTGTCTTTAGCAATACACTGTATGTAACTTCATTCTTATGCAAAATGCATCCAAAGTTCAGTGATTGTCAAAAGCTCAAGTAACATGATGAAACCCAACAAAAGCATCAATTTTCCCACGCTTAGTGTGTATATGGGGAGATATTTGTTGGCTCACTCCTTTGCTTCAAGGGTGTCCTCCAGAAATTGGAATTTCAGTGTGAACAAAGAGCTACTCTGTAGAAATGCCACAATTAAATTCCTTTTGTTTTATTTCATGATCATGATGTGGTGGTTTGAAAAAAAATGATCTTTTTATTTTAATGCTTTTTTGTTGTTGTTGTTGTTTTGCAGGGTGTATTGAGAACTCCACAAACCATCCAAAGGTTCCAGCAAGTACCAGCTCAGCCTGGACAAACATCTCCTCTTCTTCAATACTTTGGTATTCTTCTGGACCAAGGCAAACTTAACAAGTTTGAATCTTTGGAATTGTGCAAACCTGTGCTTCAGCAAGGCAAGAAACAGCTTCTGGAAAAATGGTTGAAAGAAGAAAAGGTTATTATTTTTATTAGTAAATTGTATTATTTTATGTAGTTATCATTTTCATGTTTTTTATCTGTGATATATTACCATGGCTGCTGTCATTGATCATGGTGATTTTATGCTAGTATGAAACTTTGTTGTGAAGTGTGATTGTCCAGGTGAGTGTAGTCTTGAGAAAGATTGTTGTTGGTGGTGACTGACGTTTCGACAACCTGAGCAGAAGTCATCTTCAGATTCCAGTAAAGTCCAACATTAAATTTATAAACATTATTCAGCCAACTGTACACAAAAGTACTGCTTATTTTTTTACTGTATCTCTACCTCAATGATGAATATATTTAAACACCATCTTTCGATTGATGGCTTTTCTGCCATGAAACATCCTTATTTAACAGARAGGTTTTAGAATCATTAGTTAACATAATGCCATAGTAATTATTGTAACAATRTTCATTCAGTACGTTTGCTTTCTCTATAGTTGGAGTGCAGTGAAGAGCTTGGTGACTTGGTCAAACAAGTAGATCCTACCCTTGCTCTCTCTGTGTATCTCAGAGCTAATGTACCTCAGAAGGTGAGATTCAAACTGTTAATGAATTCAGTTTTTATTCCTAATCACAGATCTTCTGTTCTATTACAATCATTCTCAATAGTAAGTGTGAAATTATCATTTGGATAAATGAAATGGTTTTGGTGTCAATCAAGGCATTGCCATGACATCCCATAAGCACGTTCCCTTCAAAACTGTGGGGTTTTTTTTGCAACAGTCATGGATACACTTTGATTGACATCCACTCAAAGCAAATTATTCAATTTCCATGTATGACATTGAGAAAAACTGTGATGTTGGAGTGTCAAAACTTAAAATCAATAGCACAAGCATGTACTTTATTATGCATTGAGCGTTCTATTTATCTTCAATTCTAAGGTCTTTAAAAACTGTTAATGTACATGAGAATTACTTGTGTCTAAATTCAGATCATTAAAATCTGTCTTTCCAGGTGATCCAATGCTTTGCCGAGACAGGTCAATTCCAGAAGATTATCTTGTATGCCAAGAAAGTAGGCTACACCCCAGACTACATCTTTCTTCTCAGGAACCTGATGCGTGTTAACCCTGAGACTGGTGCACAGTTTGCCACCATGATGGTACAAGATGAAGGAGAGCCTTTAGCTGAGCTTAACCTTGTAAGTACAAGGATTTTAGGCATTCCACACAAATACAGGTGCCTCAATGATGAATGAATACAACACCATCTTTCGATTGATGGCCTTAGGCCATGAAACAACTTTTTTTTACTGAGAGGCTTGAAACACTAGTATCAGTAGAGTGGGGGTTGAGACACAATTACATAGTATGTTGCTCCAGACTCCATTTTACAGGGTTTATGCTAATACATAAACTTCAGGATAAACACTGATAATACAGGCCAAATGTTTTTAAGCTTCTCCACAGGAAATGGACAGGGTCAGTGCATGGGATCCACTTATAAGCGACATCCTATTTTTCTTTTCATTTTTGGAATCAGTGTTAAATTATGTTTGATATATAGCTTTCTAATTTAGTTTTCTCATTAATTTTTTCTGATTAGTTTATCAGTCACCTTAAATGTAACTGATCATCACTCTTAATTCATTTTATTTTTAGATTGTTGATGTGTTCATGGAGACCAACCAGGTGCAAGCCTGTACTTCATTCCTTCTTGATGCACTCAAGAACAACCGTCCAAGTGAAGCTGCTTTGCAGACTAGACTCCTGGAGATGAACCTCATGACTGCTCCACAGGTTGGGAATAATGTCATTTACTTATTCTTGTTTACCACCAATTTCATTATTATGCGTACCAATGAAATTATTGGTAATGGTCATTGCCAAGAACTTACATTGTGGCATTGTGGCAAGTGGCGTTGTAAAAGGCATTGATAACTGTCAATAACAAGCAGTTATTGGCCACTCTTGCAGACTGACATTAGATGTACAGAATATGCTGTTAGATTTTTTAGGGGGGAGCAAAACCAAAGACCCTGCGGAAAAACCCTCCTATGAAGGGAAAGATCTAACTCTATTTAAGAGTAACATGCGTTGCTGACCCTAGCATGTAGATACTAATAACCAGTCACTCTGCCCTGTTAGCAGGGTCTATTTTGTCAATTTGTCTATCCCTAAGGTTTTATGTTTATTGCAGTGAGTTAAACTTGTCATGTGATTTGCAGGTTGCAGATGCTATTCTTGGTAACCAAATGTTCACCCATTATGACCGCCCCCACATTGCTCAGCTATGTGAGAATGCAGGACTGCTCCAAAGAGTATGTAGCAATCCTACAGTGCATCTATCACTGAATTCCATTGTTTTTAAATAGTTAACTAGTAAAGGCTCACATATAAGAAAAAGAAAAAGCTAATGGTATTTAACAGAAACTTATGTGGAAGTTGAAACGCTGTAACTATGGTCCAGAATATTCTGATATGCAAATTAGGAGCTTTGATACAGTATTTGGAATTGTGGTTATTGTTACAAGATGGCAACTTCTCACGCATGTCAAACTTCTTGCAGAATTTCCTGACTTTCAGAGATTTTACTGAATCTTTCAATCAAACATTTGGAATATTTGTCTTTAATTTTGTTTTGGTAATTCTTGAAGCAAGAGAACACGATTTACTGGAAAGAAATTTGTCAAGAAAAACGTTAAATAATCTTAAGCCTCATACAAAATAAATATGACTGTTACATGTTTCAACTGTTATGAGGTTCTGGGTTTACCACTCCATGGTAGACAGCAGAAACCAGGTGTTATATGTTTTACAAACCAATTTAAGGCAATTGATATACCAAATGACAATTTAGAAGCCATAGAATATGGAAAAAAACTCACAAAGCCAGGAGAAAACCAACAAACTTCACTCACATGCAACACTGAGACTGTGAATTAAACCCACAATAATTTATTGTGAGAGGTTACACATTTAGCAGCCGACAGTTCCCTCATTTTTAAGCTGGCCTTATCACAGCTTGTTGAATCTATTAAACTAATTTAAAACTCAGAACAAATTGGTGCTTATTTAATGGTTTATAATTTTTTCTGTGTTATGTATTGAAAATCTAATTTTGATATTACTAATTTGCAGGCTCTTGAACATTACACAGACATCTTTGACATCAAGAGAGCTATCGTCCATACCCATCTACTGAACCCAGAGGTAAAATATGAATGTAGATCATAAATGACTAATAGTTTGAGATGCTGGACACACTCTGTTTAGTTAAATACTTCCCATATGACGACTAACTATCAGAGCACTGGATCATAGTGAATAAAGGCAATTCCAAATAACTGAATATTGTTAATATGCAGTATTTTGGTTTACTGTTAAACTATCTTTAGGCAAATGATTACAATGTGGGTATCAAGCTGCTATGTGAAGAATTACAATTATATTTAAAAATGAGTTATTTAAATGAGAATAACTATAGTTATCTGCAGGTATAAACATGAATCATAATATAAACTAATTGTGATTTTGAGACGGCAATACCACAAAGTATTGACAGCTAGTTGGGAAAAAATATATTCCGTATATTGCGACTCCACCCAATACGTTCAAGTTCAGAACTCTTTCTAAACCATGTTGTAAAGTTGTCATACCTGTACCAGACGATAAAGGGCCTYGATGATGATTCTCTTATCACCATCTTTCGATTGATGGCAAACTTGCCATGAAACAAACTGTAAATCTGAAAGGCCCTAATACAGCCAATTCAGGTTGAATGTAAAACAACAAATATGGCATACACACAACTTTTTTTAGATTATTTATACAGATAGATCCATACACATTGAAGTATTTCGATGAGTGTGAATGCGAAAACGCAGCCATGCACCAGTGGGAATTTTAAACTAATTTGCAACATCAATGAATTTTCCACGGACATTTCCAGAAACGACATCCCCTCCCTTATCTTGAATTGAATCTATAATATTCAGCCTTATTTCAGAAGGAAGAGCTTTTCCTTGTTGTATGTACGTCCTGAATTGCTTATTCGTAGCATTTTTGAAGACTAAGTTCAAAAGCAAAACAAACTCTCGAACGTAGTCTCCGCCCCTTAACTACAACTGACATCTCACTTGGAAACGTGCAAAATTGAAATGTTGAATGCCCGTTTGCAATGGCTGTTGTCTTAGGGTGGACCTGAATCTGCTGTAAGGTATGACTCATATGTACTAGAAAATAAATGGAAGTGACTCATGGAATGTTCCTTGGCAGTAAATGATAGATATCTTATTAATTTTATCTTTGTCAATATTTTAGTGGTTGGTGAACTACTTTGGTTCATTGTCTGTGGAGGATTCCCTGGAGTGCCTGAAAGCAATGCTGACACACAACATCAGGCAGAACCTGCAGATCTGTGTTCAAGTTGCTACCAAGTATCATGATCAGCTGGGCACCAATTCTCTGATTGAACTCTTTGAATCTTTCAAGAGCTTTGAAGGTCAGTATAGATGGATCTTGCTTAACAGACACCTTTCTTTGAATACTAACTGCAACATCTCTCAGTTAAGTTTTTTTTGTTTGTTTGTTGGTAAAACACACATGTTTCCAGGGGGTAACATCAGAAGTATTCATAGGAAGAAAGAATAAATGACTGGTAATTACTCTACCAGGTGCAGTGGAGCAACATAGAAAGTGTTGTGTGCATTTGGGGGGGAGGGGGGGTTGGGCAATTGAGACTAGATAGCATAGGAAAAAGTGGGGGGCTAAGATTGGAAAATATAAGAGACTAGTAGGGGAAAAGGAAGAAAATGCCCAACCCCTCCTGCGGCTCATGTGTACCTGCCAGTGACAACAGTGTTATGCTTCCTTCCTCTTGAATACTTTGATGTTGTCCCTGATACAAATGAGAAGTGTACTATCAATGGAAAGAAAAAGAAAATGATTTTTATAGTTTTACATTCAATTTTAATTTATTCACAGGTCTGTTTTACTTCCTTGGGTCCATTGTCAATTTTAGCCAAGAAGCTGATGTACATTTCAAGTATATCCAGGTGAGTACTACAGTATAGGATATACATAGATTAACCTTACAACTTTAGGTTGGAAACATGATATGTAGTAGGGAGTTTGCAAGTCTAGCATGACATTTGTATAGTAAATCGCACAATCTCGAGTACAATTCAGAATTTATAGGTGTGACAAGCCTTTAGGTGAGTCTAATTTGAGATCTTTCAAAACATCACAGGTATCTATAAATTCCAAATTGTACAAGACAATTGTGCATTTTTTTTGTTTATAATATGCTCCACAAAATTGAGCAACTTAATTGGAACTCTACAGAGAACATTTGGGATTTAATTTTACTCCTAGCCCCTCTTGTCCAATCAGAATCCAGTAATTTTATTGAGTATACTATAATGAATAACAATTTAAGATCAGCATAAATATCATCAATCCAAAAAAGCATGTCAGAGTTAGTAAAAGTTGAAAGTATGAAATAAATTTAGCATAAAGTTGTTAGTTTGCACAAAGTTTTGCCTTGATGATGATTGTTCTAACACCATCTTTCAATTGATTGGCTCAACGGCCATGAAACTAAACTTTAACATCTGAAAGGCATTACCACCAATATATTAATGTTGAAGAAATCTGAAGTTCTTTTCTCATCTAACCATGGATATTTTTTCATTGCTCCAGGCTGCCTGCAAGACTGGCCAGATAAAAGAAGTTGAAAGAATCTGTAGAGAGAGCAACTGCTATGATCCTGAAAAAGTCAAGAATTTCCTCAAGGTATAGTCCAAATCCAAATTATCTGTTGCTTGGCCTTGATTTTGTGTATAATGTTCATGTTCATTCACCGCTGTGTTTATTAGTATTATATTATGACTGATATGGTTTTGTGTATTCCAGGAAGCCAAGCTGACTGACCAGTTACCCCTGATCATAGTGTGTGATCGATTTGACTTTGTTCATGACTTGGTGCTCTACCTGTACCGCAACAACCTACAAAAGTACATTGAGATCTATGTTCAGAAGGTATTGAAATCAAGTACTACTCACCATTTGCTAGTCAACACTCTAAAATAACTATCATCATAGTCTAATGAGTCACGTAATCCTACCCTCTTAAAATGCCCAATTGTGTCCAAGTGTACATCAGAAATGAAAAGAGTGCCTCAACTGATATTAGGAAAAGTTTCAAAACAATTGTCATCTTGGGGTACCCAGTACCCATCACCTCCAGAAGTAAAATCCTGGAGCCACTTTGTAAAACCACTGTCAAATCCCGTTCACTTGTTTGCTTGTTATTAAAGGATGTATTTTCCCTAAGACATTGGCTCATTGTTTGTTGATCGATAGGTCAATCCCTCCCGTCTGCCAGTAGTAGTGGGTGGACTGCTTGACGTGGACTGCACTGAAGACATCATCAAGAGCCTCATCATGGCAGTCAGGGGACAGTTCTCCACAGATGAACTGGTTGAAGAGGTAGAAAAGAGGAACAGATTGAAACTACTACTGACGTGGCTTGAAGCAAGAATCCATGATGGATCTGAGGAACCAGCCACACACAATGCTCTGGCAAAGATCTACATTGATTCAAATAACAACCCAGAAAGATTCCTCAGGTAAGGCTTTAAATTTACTGGAATCATAGAATCACTAGAACAGATTCATAGCCGAACTTAAAATAATGGCCGATCAGTCTCTGGCCAGTGGCCAGTCATAAATAAAGCCAATTAGTTTTAAATCGGTCATACCCCATTTCTGGCTTAACACTACTGGTCAAAATGACCAGCTAGGCAAAGATTTGATTGGACAAGTTCCAATTCTGGACAGGCATCGTCTGATGACTGGCTGTTATTTTTAGCCCTGTACTTGTATGGTTGGGATTGGCAATAAATCAATAAGACAATCTATCAACTTTGTTTATAGAGGATAATAATTGTTGAATATCACCATGTCTTTTGTGTAGGGAGAATCCATATTATGACAGTCGTGTTGTTGGTAAATACTGTGAGAAGAGAGACCCTCACTTGGCTTGCATGGCTTACGAGAGAGGACAGTGTGACCAGGAATTGATCCAGGCAAGTATCTGGCCTACCAAATAGAACCAATGAATGGCCTACTTGCATTACTTACTGTAACATGCATGTGTGACACTTTTCAGTGTAACATGACTTTACATTTCCATGACGTATTGTAGCGTTCATGATGATTTTTCAACGTGATCTAGTTATAATTTTGTGCTGCTTTACCTGCGTCAATATCAGTTCACTAATACCAGGGATTTCTTTTTTTCCAGGTCTGTAATGAGAACTCGCTTTTCAAGAGTTTGTCACGATATTTGGTGAGGAGAAGAGACCCTGAACTGTGGGCCAGTGTACTTGTGGAAACTAACCAGTACAGGAGACAGTTGATTGACCAGGTATGAAATATGAGATGAAATGTCAGATTTTTTATATCATTTGTGGAGGTTTGTGTAATTGTCCTTTAAAAGCAATTCCAAAGCCCCACCCTCATTTCCCAAAGGTCCCTTAACTATTATCACGAAAAATACCACTCTGTTGTCCAAAATTATCCCCATGTTGCCCAGACGGCCATGTCTGACCCCCTCCCCCCTTTCTCGAATGAATGCTTTCCTTTTTTCAGTTTTTGCCCATAAAATACCACTCTATTGTACCAACTTGTCCCCAGGTTGTCCAGACAGCCTTATCTGACCCCCACCTCCCCCCTTTCCTTGAATGAATGCTTTCCTATTATCAGTTTTTGCACACTGATTAAATACCACTCTATTGTACCAACTTGTCCCCAGGTTGTCCAGACAGCCTTATCTGAGACCCAAGATCCAGAGGATGTGTCCTGCACTGTCAAGGCATTCATGACAGCTGATCTGCCTAATGAACTTATTGAACTGCTGGAGAAGATCGTGCTGGAGAACTCTGTCTTCAGTGACCACAGGTAGATTAATAGACTTATTTAGGAATTAATTACTTTGAATATTTGTTTTAGGAATTCACCTCACATTGGCTCACTGCTCACAGTTGAGGCTGTAAGTTAGTTGCAAATGATTTTCAAATTGGTTGTATGCAGCCTCAATTGAATGCTTTGTGTAGTGAACCAATTTACTGTATGAAAAGAGATGAATAGAAACTTTTGTAGAAATGCTAGTCAGTTGACTGTTCAACGTTATAATCCAATCTACATTACTATATCTACTCATCTTTTTGAGGTTGGAATATTTATTTTCAGAGAGCCTTGGTAATGTGCTAGAATTTTAATATCTTAAACATGGCCTGTTGATGTGTGTTTTAGTTATTCTGAAAAAGATTTAAAAATTTTAATAGTGGTTGAAGACACTTCAATCCGAATCCAACCACAGGCATCTCAACTTAAGACAATTGATTGCTTACTGAATTGGTTGTGATGTTTTAATAGGAATCTTCAAAACCTGCTGATTTTAACAGCCATCAAGGCTGACCGAACACGTGTGATGGAGTACATCACTAGGCTGGATAACTATGACGCCCCTGACATTGCTAGTATTGCTATTGGTAGTGAGCTGTATGAAGAAGCTTTTGCTATCTTCAAGAAATTCGATGTCAATACTTCTGCTATCCAGGTAGGTGATTCAGTGTTGATTATATATATTTACTACCACTCCCACAGCTCTTCTGTGAGGTTCCCTCCACACACACTACCACTACATTCTATATTTACGACATACAAAACTCAACTCACATGTTGCTTTTACGGAGGAAGAAAACCAGAGATCCCAGAGAAAACCCTCGTGGCAGGGAAGTGAACAACACAACAAACAAACTCAACTAACATATGATCCAGTCTGAGCCAGGGCTCGAACACGGACCAAAAAAACCACGCATCTGCTTATTTAGCTACAGCACTTGGTTTGATGAGCCATTGCCCATGCAGATGATAACATTGATGATGATGATGACAAGTGGTAGTTATTGTATTAATGTCTAATAACTAATGAGAAAAAGATGCTTCTGATAAAGTCTTAAAAGGAATAATGATGACGATGACAGATAACCAGTGAGAAGAAGGAGTAATGAAAGAGGGAGGAGTTACCCCCTCGCTGTGATAATGTTGGCTGAAATTGATTGGAGATAATAAGTGCTTCACAATAATTGATTGATGATATAATCATATTTTTGATGTTGGTTATGAAAATACACAGCAATTCATGGTTCCCTATCCCTCTGTTACCGTTGCTGTGTCCYACAAAATAATTAGATAGAGTATCTCACAATCTAAGATTGAGATCCTTTACTGTCCGGTGAAAATCAAATCAAATAGCCTTGTAATCCTTATATTGCTCTTCAAATAAGATACTGTGTACTTAATTTTGGGAAAGGATTTTAACTCCACTGGGAAAACTGCTGCAACAGTGATCGATTCGCTATTGTCTAGGTCAGAACCATAGATAGTGACTGATATTTGTTATTGATATTTCAATATCACGATCTCCTTACTATTTTACAGGTTCTAATCGAGAATATCCAAAACCTAGACCGTGCTTACGAGTTCGCCGAGCGATGTAATGAACCAGCCGTGTGGAGCCAACTGGCCAAGGCACAGTTACAAGAAGACATGATCAAAGAAGCTGTGGACTCTTTCATAAAGGCTGACGACCCTTCCTCTTACATGGAAGTCGTTGAATATTCTCAGAGGAAAGGTAACAATCAATTAAAAGTTTTAAAAAAGTATATAAAATATAAATATTATTATCATCATCATCAACATAACTAAGTTTAATCCATCGGTATTCTTGTATTACAGACAATTATGAGGACCTCGTACGCTACTTACAGATGGCCCGTAAGAAGGCTCGTGATACATTCGTAGAGACCGAGCTGATTTTTGCCTACGCCAAGACAAACCGTTTAGCCGAGCTTGAAGAATTCATTTCTGGACCAAATCACGCCCAAATTAGTCAGGTATGTGTCTGACGTTCGGGTATTGCAAGTTTAAGCATTAGTCTTCTCCAATCTACTTTTTGATACAGATATCATCATATAGTAGTATGCACGATTGACTGAAGCTAAATCACGTCTTGCACAAGATGGTGAATCAGGAACAAAATACGAGAAAAAAGGGGTGCGAATATCATCAAACCCAAATTTGATGCTGCTTAACATAATCATTGATTGTTGAGCTGTTTTGATAATGCATAAAAGATAATAGAAATTCCTGGCTCGATCGCAATGTATAGAATTGATAGGCCCAAAGCTTCTGAGAAGAGGGTAAAATGCGCCGGATTTGCACGGAAATCATGATATTGTTTCTTTTCTACTTATTACTAATCAGTACTTTATTCCAGGTTGGTGATCGTTGCTATGATGCTAAAATGTACGAAGCCGCTAAGATCTTGTACAACAACATCTCTAACTTCGCCAAACTTGCTTCTACTCTTGTTCACCTTGGCGAGTACCAAGCTGCCGTGGATGGAGCAAGAAAGGCTAACAGTACCAAGACATGGAAAGAGGTAAGATTATGATCAGAATCATCCGTACAACTTATCACATAACTAAGGGTAACAATGGATAACGAAATTTTCTTTCTTCAAAACTTACTTCGTGAAGAAAAAAATGTTGGGCGCGGAAAATTAATAAGAGTGACAAGCACAACTTAGAACGCAACTATTGCGTAATAAGATGAACTTTGTTGCGCAAATTGCCGCAAAATTTCTTAGACGCAGTAGGAATATACTTGCTCGATTTCCAGTTATAGAGTGTTTAAAGAATACTAGGGTATGGCTTACAATTTACAAAGCTCACTCGTTTTATCTTTGCTTCCATTAGGTGTGCTTCTCCTGTGTCGAGGGTGGAGAGTTCCGTCTTGCTCAGATGTGCGGTCTTCATATCGTAGTCCATGCTGACGAGCTAGAAGAGCTCATCAACCATTACCAAAACCGTGGTTATTTTGAAGAACTGATTGCCTTGATGGAAGCAGCACTAGGTCTTGAAAGAGCGCACATGGGTATGTTCACTGAGTTAGCCATCTTGTACTCTAAGTACAAACCATCCAAGATGAGGGAACATTTGGAACTGTTCTGGTCTCGTGTTAACATCCCTAAGGTGAGTCATTAGGTTTCAGTTGATTGAGTATATTGTACTGGACGCAGCACAGCAAGAAAGTTTTTTTATTTCTTTTATAAACTACGAATTAGAATAACTTTGAATACGAATGATAAAACAGAAAGTGCACGCGCTTCCCGTGTGCTCTTATAAGGCACCCGTTCCCATCCAATCAGAACGCGAGATTCATAAGAAGTATTTTATAAAATGCATTATTTTTTCAAGATGTCACTCTAAAACATTATTGTCGATGTTTGCAGGTACTTCGCGCAGCTGAGCAAGCACACTTATGGTCTGAACTAGTCTTCCTGTACGAGAAATACGAAGAATATGACAACGCCGTGCAGACCATGATGAACCATCCCACGGTAGCCTGGAAAGAAAGCTTGTTCAAAGATGTCATCTGCAAGGTGGCTAACATTGAACTGTACTACAAGTCCCTCCAGTTCTACTTGGACTTCMAACCTATGTTGATTAACGATCTATTGCTGGTACTGACTCCTCGTATGGACCATACCAGAGCTGTTGCTTTCTTTACTAAAGTTCAACACTTGCCATTGGTGAAACCCTACTTGCGTTCTGTTCAAAGCCATAACAATAAGGTATGACTTCCTGGGAACGACATTATTATGTAGGAGTGTTAAAGGTTTGTGATAAAACACATTCACAATATGGAATTTGTTTTAATATCGTGTTATTTCTCCTATCAGTCTGATGTTGTTAGATTCCTCCAGTCTTACTCCGATTTCAGCTGCCTTTTCCTTTCGAAATCGATCTTTTTGTCTTTCCCAAACCTTTCCCAATCATATCTAGATTCCCCCAATAAAATCTACCTGCTTGTATCCTTTCTCACTTCCCTTTCACAAACTCGTTTGAATGGGGTTTAGCATTGTCTCTCCGATGATTCCAATTGGAAGTTAGAAGTATATTTTCGAGGAATACAAATACTGTATTGTAATATTAATGTTTATTGTATTTGTATTCCTAAACCTATGTTTATTAGTATTTTTGAGGGAAAAGGAGAACGTCGAGAAAAACCGTGGATTCTAATCTTAGCAGAGAATAAATATTTTGAGGCTCTAACTTGATGTTGTTCCTCGGTTTCAGTCCATCAACGAAGCCTTGAACGACCTTCTGATAGGAGAAGAAGACTACAATGGTCTGCGTGCGTCCATCGATGCGTTCGATAATTTCGATAACATATCTTTAGCACAACGGCTGGAGAAACACGAGTTGATCGAGTTCCGTAGGATAGCTGCTTACCTGTTTAAGGGCAACAATCGCTGGCAGCAGTCTGTGGAGCTATGCAAGAGAGACAAACTTTTCAAGGTAATTTTGCGTGGACGTTGAAATATCGATTCGTCTTTTTTCCTCCCGATGCCACTGTACAAGAATCCTTTTTATTGTTCCCTTGGTCTTGCGAATCTCAAAAGAGTACTTCATATTTTAGGCTGCGCACGGCGTTTGTCGAGGTAATAAACTAACTTTTTTTGACAATGGCCGGTGTGCTTGCCAGAATTCCCTATTGAATAAAATTTTAAATGATATGGCCGTCATCTTGGAGGTCTCGAGGCATCACATGACGTGAACTCAAACTTGGATGCCATAATGTATGTATTGGGAGAAGGGAGTCAAACGTTTTACGGCAATAACCTGTGAGGTAGCCAGCATTACCATCTGATTGAAGTCTCAGATACCATGTTAAGGCCTATTTACACGGCACGATTTGCCGCGCGCGACTTGACGTATACGGCAAAATCAGCTCAAAATCGGGTCGTGTAAATGGTCCTACGACAGACGTACGCGGCCTCAAGACTTGTCGTAGCATTTTAAACTTTGGCTTAAAACCCTACGACATGCCGTAGGAAAATGACGTAAAAATGACGTTTTTGACCGAGATTGGGACTGGAACTAGTTGATTCCAAAACAAAATGGCGGATTTCCATGAAAACGTCTTTACCGGTTATTAAACACGAAGTGCAAAAATTCTGAATGTTCTCATCAAATAACAAGGTAGACATGATCATTTACTGCACTTCTCAACTGTGTATGGTGGCATTTTACAAAAAGAAACATTTGCTGTAATGACGAGTAAATTGCTCGCGTTTTTTTTGTGCCGCGTGCGACAAGTTGTGCTCGTGTAAATGGTACTAAAATTTGCCGTATACGTCAAGTCGCGCGCGGCAAATCGTGCCGTGTAAATAGGCCTTTAGAGGTCTCAAGCAAAATCATCCGACATGGCAGTTGTAACAAATGCTAAATGTTATTTCTTAATGTATTTTAGGATGCCATGATGTATGCTGCTGAATCTCGTAACAAAGGGACGGCGGAAGACCTGATCAACTGGTTCCTTGAGATTGGCCACAACGAGTGCTTTGCTGCTTGTCTTTTCATGTGTTACGATCTGATTAGCCCTGATTATGTACTGGAACTAGCCTGGAGACACAACCTTATGGACTTTGCTATGCCTTATATGATACAAGTATTAAAAGAATATATAGATAAGGTAAGCCTCTCCTGGTCTTTTGACGCTCTTGGACTTCATGTTAACGACATTATGTGTAAACTATGTCCATATTGCATCTAAGGCTCGTAATTTACCTATTACGCATGCTCTTATTTGATATCCGAGCCCATCCCACACGGATGTCCATATTAAATTTTTTTCGTTAGGTTACAGTGGAATTAGTGTGTAATCGGTAGACATGGTGTGTACCTAGCGCCAGAGAAGGACAAGTGAAGGAACCACTAATAACCCCAAACATTATTCCCCAAGGAGAAAGTATAAATAAACACGGATAAAAAATAGGTTAGCAAACATTTCTTGGTAATATTTTCTCAGGTTGATAAATTACGCGCTTCTGAAGCGGAAAGAAAAGATCAAGAAGAGAGCAAACAAGATACTCCTATAGTTTTTGGTAAGAAAATCTGAATATAATTTTGGAGGAAGGGAAAATGAGAAGGGAAGAGAAATAAAATGGAAGGGAGACCGAAAGAATAGAAGAAAGTAGGGGAAATGATGGAAGTTTGGTTTACGTCGGAGGTAAAAGTAGTAACTAGAGAAAAGATGGAGAATATATTAGGTATGGGAAGGATGGATAAGGAAAAATAGAATAATGAATAAATTACATTTCATGGTATATTGTATGCGAGCTATGTGTTTATTCATTGTATTATCACCTCTCTTAAACGGAATAATTTTATATAATCAAGAAACCTCTGTTTGAATCTCCAGGTAGTGAACAGTTGATGATAACGGGTGGTCCAGGCATGGTTCCCGGTATGCAGGCTCAAGGAGGCATGATGGGGATGCCTCCACAACAACCATTCGGCTACCAGCCAGGCTACGGCATGTAACTCTCCCAAACCATCAAAATATTACCATTGATCCATTAGGCACATAATCACTTAGCTAGTTATTCCTATTCTCACTGTCAATTTTATATCGTCAATAAGAAGTCTTTTGTAGTCACACAGTCATACTCTATTCGAGATTTCAACCGGAAAAGATCACGCCCTGTACGGTGACAGAAATCGTGGTGTTTAGAGGCGGGCAAGTGCATGTTTTATCCGAAAGACTAAAATGGTGAAGGTCAAGGTCATGAGCATTAATAAATCTAAATAGGTAACTTGAACTGTTGTAAGCCATAATAAAACTGTAAAAAAAACTATTTGCAATTGCTGTTTTTTCAACTTGAAAAATCATAGAAGAATTTAGTCTGCAATTAGTGAAATAACATCGCGTAGAGATGATGGACGTGTCGTACCGTAGTGAAATATTATCGCGTAGAGATGATGGACGTGTCGTACCGT